AGGCTGCTTCGGGACCACGTGATGGAAAGCAGATGCCGCTGAAGCAAAATCCGTCGTTTTACTGGACTCCGTCGCCATAAACTGCACTCTCAGAAGGCCGCGTGGCTGATAGGATTTGTAAAAAACAACTCTTATGTGGATGTGGAGGAACCAATAAGTGAAGAAGGCAGATTGTAAGCCAATGTCGTTGGTTCGTACTGCCCGGGGTAGAACATTCAGAAAACTTGGTGTACATCCCGTCCATGTTCATTGACACTCTTCTGATGTTCATATTTTCGAGATATTTCAAACCACATTAGTTCCCCCCCCCTCCCCCGCATATAACATTGTCTATCAAACATCCTTTCTCAATTCTAGATTTGAAGCTTTCGTGACTGCAAGGATTCATACTCTTTGGTTTTTTCGGTAAAGTCACGTAGGTGAAAAATAAAATTAAATGAAAACAGCTAAATTAAATCACGACGTTTCGGGCGCAACACAAGCGTCCGTAATCAGGTGGGAAAGCATGGCCTACTGCTGATGCAACACATGGGAATTCCAATTCCCATGGGTTGCGCCCAAAACGTCTGATTTAATTTGGTTGTTTTCATTTATTTTATTGTATTTTTTACCTACGTGACTTTACCGAAAAAAACAATAAGTATGAATCCTTTCTCAAATATTGACAAAGGTGGTACTATGTGTTTTTTGTGTGTCTTGCATATTTACAATAAAAAAAATCAAATAAAGCAAAGCTTCAAACGTTGATGAAATCCACAGAGGTATACACACATTTATACAATTAACTGTGAATAACAGTCACCTTCACAACTTTATAACGAACAACAACAACCGCCACCGAGCGTTCCGTTTCTTTTCTTTTCAATTTATTGTTCGACGCGTTTGATATAGACAACATCGAGATGCACAGGACGAGAAGTTTGGCTGTTTTGGAATCGAGAGGGGTAAAGATCACAGCCCTACAGAAGTAGCGAGAGACATTGTCACGAGACACAACATTGTCAAGCACAGAATGGAGTTTGTTGTTGCGCGCACAATACAATACCCCCTTAGAGACAAACATACATTTTTCCAGTCACGGGTCTAACAAATTCCAATTCCCATGGATTCCTGCAAAGAGGGGTGTGCGATAAGCGCAGGGTTGGGTCCAGTGATGTTAGCGGTTTTACATTTCACATCATCGAGATGAACAATCACGACCTTACAGTAACGTGAGAGAGAAAAATATATATGTACATGTGCACATCGTTTCCAAGCCGCTGTTGTGATAATTCACCAAAGCAAATGAAACCCCGGGGGGGGGGGAATTTTACGTTCAAGTAATTAGCGTGTTTACCCTGCGTACTCCAATGTGTTCATAAAGCTTGCAACACCAAAAAAGTACCCTTCTCAAAAGCTATGGGTTCGTACGATGCATATATTAATGTACAGACAATATATATTATTTTTATTATTATACAGTCATGGCTGCATAATGTCCAACCCCTATGGGTTCCATGTAATAGTCTTCTGTTCATCACCGTGATAAACAAAACAACACCTCAGTTAAACATGAAAAATATGTGTATGTATATACAGCGTAACGTCATATATCTGACTTGCTGTAGACTGAGGAATGTCAGGCGGAGAAGCGAAAAGGTCGGATTGTTGTGAACATCTCGGTACATTGCTCAGCGTTCCGTATTGTTGTTCTGTGTTGATACGAGACGTTATCCTGCACATTTCAGAAACGTGCGTGTTGAGTATTTGGCTGCTTTTCATTTCCACACGATAAGCCACCTCGAGCTATTATCCATGGCCAGGTCGCTTCTGACAAAGAGCTGCATAGCTCGGTGGGCGTTAACCTGGTAAAATGGAAAAAAAAAGTTTCGATTTTAGTTTATGGGCTGCGTTCATTAACTGCAGCTGATTAGGCCCCGGGAGATTATGGGTGTGTCGAATATTGGCACGTGCGCGTTCAGGTGGCCATCGAAATCGCTCTCATGTCTGGTTACCGCTTTTAAACTATGATGGCAAGGGCCTTGAGCAGATGCGCTCTATAAATGCAAACGGAGACAAGTTATACTAACGGGTGGAGTTACGATTGCCCCGTTGTGGCTTTACTGTTGTTGTCCGGAGATACGTCGTCGTCGTCGTTGTTGTTACAAGTACCAGGCTGTCTTGACCGAGACTAACTTACCGCACAGTTTGTGAGCTAACCAGGAAGAAAATAGACAACAGGCGGTAAAAACTAAAAACTACAGAATGTATAATATCTGCACTCCAAGGTGTTCGTAAAGCCGTGCAACATTTCCCACGCAACTTTCGTCGCCATTTTTTGCCCGAAGTTTGGAATGAATGGCTGTGCCCAGTGGCTCGGTGGGTAGCTGTCTCGCAGGGGGCATAATGGTCAAAGTTTAGCGCGCCGATGGATTCAGCGCTCATAAAATATCTCTGGCTGACTTCAAGTTATAACTCAGTTCCCAAGTGCAGCGAGGTTCATGAAATATGACCACTCGGCAAGGCAGTTGTGCTGCATAGCCCCCCCATGCTTTCTTTGGTCGTACCGCACGTCATTCCGCGTGATGTCAGACGTTTTGCGCCACACGCTCTTTCAGGAACTGCGTTTACAAACCGTGAGAAACGTTGGACATCACGCCGAACAACAGCGTGCGGTAACAACCCCAAAAAACACATTGGAGAGCCATGTGCACAGAAATAAATTCTGTGCACAAACCATATGCGGCGATTGGTACGTCGCACACCACTGCAGCATTACTCAATGTTTATGATTAAGGTAAAACATATTTTTTTCAGAATTACAGCCTCGATTCTAGCGCGACTTGTATCTCCATAAATCTTTGACATTGAATCGACGAGGACCGTGGAAACATGAAAGCAGATTCACAAAAGTCACATGGCGCGTCGCTCGACCCCTCACTGCAGCGATGACAGTTAAACGTAATGGCACTCGAGTAATTTACAGCCTTCAGCAGCATCGCACCGGTACAATAGCTATATCCGACACGCACACACTAAACATCTGGACTCACCCCCCCCCCTCATCCCCACCCACAATCACACGTGAACAAAATAATCTATAAGCTATAATTAACCCTGCAGGAAAGAAGGCAGATAAACCAACGACCCAACAAAGCCACTTTGCCATTGCTTAGTTGAACCACATTCAGTGAAGATAAACAGCGGCCGCTTCGATAGATCTTCATTGTCACTCTCCCCTGGCGGAAAAGTGTTTTTTTTTAAAGAGACCTACTGCTGTTTGATATGCCGCTGTCCGATCCTCGGTACATACAGCTAACGAGAGTTGACATTCTTCACCCAATGCCCATTCTACAATTTAAACCTACCTGTATACTCTTAAAGTAATCATACATCACTCAACACATGGGCTGCTCTCCCCTCTTCCAGAAGTGTGAGATCTTCTCCTTCCCGTGATATGTCCTGGTGATTCTTGCACCTCAGAGGTGGCAACCCTTTTTGGGTGCCCGGATTCAAACCGAGGTTCCCAGCTGTGCCAAGTCGATGCTTTGACCGCTAAGCCTCCTGGTTACCTCTCCCGAGGGAACACTTTCTTTAAAATCAGGGGCGGCCCGTCCATATAGGCGAACTAGGCGATCGCCTAGGGTGCCAAATTACAAGTGGGGCTCCAAATTTGAGGAAATAAACATACAAAAAAATAGAAATAAAAAAACGACGTCATTTTTTCAATTCCCGTGCACGTACCGAGGGAAATTGATTGTATATAATTACATTCTGAACATTTCTGAGAATCTATTAATTGAACAGACGAACGTACAGACAAACCGAAAAATGATGCCTCTGTTTAAACAAGAAGAAATACGCTTAAAAAAAGAGACATTCAACGGAAAATAGGTGCGACGTGGCTTTTTTTTACCAGTCTACCAAAAACCTCGGGTTGGATCTGCCCTTGGGGTGTGGGGATGCGGGCGCCGATAGAGTGGTTCGCCCAGGGCGCCAGGCGCTGGCAGCAGCTTAGTCTAGGGCGGCCCCCTGCTTTTGGGTGCATCAAAGCACTCCTCCTTCTTCCTCCGAACCTTGGCGGTGTGACCGGAGAAACGACGTTAGGATGGACACCGACGACGCGGCTCCGAGCAGATTCTATAACGAGTGCATATATTTAGAACGCCCGAGTTTAAAGCGGTCCGACGAAGGTGCGTGTCTTGATCGAGGGAGCGTTTGTTCACGACGGGTTTCCTAGCGCAAACACGCAGCGTGCGCAGCGAAAACGATGCACAACAGCAGAGGGGTTCGCAGTGTCCCACGTGGGTCATCACGAATATCGACACGATATTATATCACCGGACGGGACACTCGTGGAACAAACATGTGCGTACGCCCACCACGTTTTGGGACTAAAACTTGCACTTTGCTCATGGAATATTTACGATCTATAGCGCAAGGATTGAACAGTGTCATCGTCTCAAATAAAAAAAATAAAAATTTAATTCGCAACGCGTGGCGGCTTCTACACACCTTATTTTCATTTTGTTTTGTGTGCCATCGCATTGCGAGTGACGCGGCTATAAATGAAGGCAAGTATACAGCATGTTCGTGTGCGCGGTGACGTGGCCGAGCGGGTTAGCGCGCTTGCCGCTGGTTTGCAGGGGTTCGCGGTTTCGAGCCCCACGGCCGCCCTGGTTAATACCGCGGGCGTATTAACTGTAACAATGCGCGTCCGCCAGTTTCACAGTGGGCGACAGAAAAAAGATCCCTTCGAAGGAGAGTAGGCCACGTGCGTTGGCATCAGGGTCCAAAGTTTGCCAAATAAAAAAAAGGCCCACAAATGGCTCCATTTGGTTAAACATCACAGCAACATTGCCCGCCCCCTCCCCCCAGTACGGAAAAACGTAGAAGACCCCCACCACGAAAAAGTATTGAGACTCATTGAGGCTTTCGTGGGCCAATGCATGGACAAACAAAAAGAGTTTCTCCGTTTTTGTACCTTTTAGATCTCGCATCATCTCGCCCCCCCCCCCCCCCCCCCGAGTTGAAAAGAGGCAAAACGAGTGTGGTTTGGTTCAGGAACAGTTGAGGGGAGATTGTCAGGCGGGATGGGAGAAGCGAGAAACACGCCGGGATTGTGTGCCGCTGCGATTGGCCGCACGGCGAAGCCGTTCACTAGCAGTGGGTAGAGCATGTCTAGCAATAGTGTGAAAAAGGCAAATAGTGTATAGTGCTTTTTAATTCGCCTGTAAATAACTACTAATCAGCTGTGGTCAGAATAGATATGTTGAGAACAGAAGCTTTAGCATGAAGGCTGCTATGGGGTCATCCTATCGATAGACGGTAGGCGGATATATAGTAATGCATATGGCTAGCAACAAAGCAGCTTGCTGTGTAACCTTTCTTTCTTGTTGCTACTTACTAGGCTGGAAACAGTTCTTCACCTATTGCTGAAGATCGATTGTGGGTAGCGTGCTCCTCTCGACACGGCCACGGTGTGGTTACGGAGCAATGTACCCGGAGGTTTAAACGAGAGCTCTTTGCGATCGCTGTCACAGTCTCACGGACGTTTGGCGTAGAAGACTCGTGTATGGCGTTTTTTCTGATGCATGTGAAATTGAACGCATGGATATGTGTGCGTGTGTGTGATGTGAGGAGCGGTGGTGTAGCGGTTAGCGCGCTGCACTACGAACCCGGCCACCCGAGTTCGATTCCCGCTCAGGGCCAACACCAGTGACGATTATCCGGTCCTGGGCCTCCCCTAGGTCGACTCAGCCTCAAATGAGGACCTGTTGTGGTGTGTAAAAACATCGCCACCGGGGAGACAAAGGCGGCCGGGCGTGGTGTTGGCCGCCCGCCTACCCCCTCGTGTGCCGTGCCGGCCTTCATAGGTGCTCGCTAACAGCACTTGCCCCAACAATCTGTTGCAGGCTACACGGGGATCTTTGTCTGGCTGCGCCGCTACCACCGGTGAAAGCAAAGAGCAACACAAATTGGTGGTGACAACTAGGCGAGGTCTGGTGACCCCCTCTGTTACCAGCACGAACACCTGAATCGTTGAAAGTTTTTTTCTGCACCAATCCCCTGTGACCCCCCCCCCCCCCTTCACTGCTCCCCCCTCATGGGGCCTTCCAAGAAAATTAAATGAAAAACTTCCTTGAAAATTATCAACGACACCTCGTCGCTTCGCAGACCTCAAGTGTAGCCCCCCTCATGACTTTCACAGACCCTTGACGATGCCCGCAACACTCTATCGTAATTGAGAAATTGCCATGTGAGATGCAGTACCCTGTTTAAAATGTATTCAAATACGTATATAAATGCGCTGTGCCACATCCTAAAGCTTTGATTATATTGATTATGGGTTCAGAAATCTGCGCGCCCATAATTGTTGCTACTCTAACTACGAATGAAGCGTCCTATGTAATCTGCTTTGATATTGTATTGTTATTTACAGCTTGCTTTCAATCCACTCCCCATACCTTGTCGGTCGTGGGGGTTGTTCGACCATACTTCACCACGCCCGTCGGGGCAGTCTGGTGTAGGAGCATTTCAGGACCGATTTCAGACATCATCCGTCACCGACGTTAGCCGTGGCCGGGAATCGAACTCGGGCGACTGGGACTCATAGGGCAGCATGCGAACCGATGCACCACCGCTCGCTCGATTGATCGACCATCCAGAGTCGATAAAACGAGCACGTCTTGGTTCAGGCTGCAGAACTTGGGCGCGGGGTAAGTCAGAAGTTATTGGCGCTGTGGTAAATGAAGAAATCACCATTCTCCAATGGCATTTTAATATCACTGGCTCAGGACAGCTTATGGAAGTTGCGCTATTGTTTCATGTGAACTTTGATGGTGGGGGGGGTTTCGTAAAATAATTCAAGTTGCGCGTCGAATGTGTCGCGGACAAACTTGCGCTAACTTGTTTAAGCTCTCTATTGACAATCTCATCCATCTCAGGGAGCGCTTTGTTTAATGACCCCCAGTTACCGGTGGTGATAGTCGTGGAGGAATTTTTTGATAGTGGAAGTCTGTGGGGGGTGGTGGGGGGGACTGGGAGGGAGAGGGGACAAGAGTATTATGCAATTTAGAATATTTATGTTCAAAAATAATTCAAAGTGATTTCCTGCTCAAAAAAGCACTGAGACCAGACCCATATCCCGCTGCTTATATCTCCCTGGTCCGGCAGTGGAAATTGCACATTGTCAGGGCATGGGCTGAGACGTTGCACAGGGCAACCACTGTTGACTTCCCCACAAAGTGGTTCTCAATTTTATCGTCCTCCGGAAGGGATTATGGCCGAGTCAACCCCCGAGCAGAGTTTGAGCAGGTCAGGTAGGTACTGATCAGAATGTTTTGTTCCATTTCTCTGTTTACTTACGGGGGGTCTGCCCCCCCCCAACCCCCGCCCAACTCCGGCCAGCCGCGACAAGCCGGCACTGCCATTTGACGCGCTCTAAACGGAGAGGTTAAAGGTTACCGTGGATCAGTACATGCGGGTGCTGGCCAATCAGAGGGGCCTTCCTCTGGCTGCCCCCCGTGCTTTGTCAGTAACCCCCCACCCCACCCCGGTCCTCCTGGTCGCACCTCGCAAGCTGTGGCCTCCAAGACCTCGCATCTCCTCCACTGATCTCTGGGCGCCTGTGAACAGAGGGGCACATACACACGTGTGATAATAATATTGTTTGGTTGATAAGGGGCCGTCCATAAATGACGTCACGCTATTTTTGGACGATTTTTGACCCCCCCCCCCCCTCGTCACACGGCGTCACAAAAAGTCAGACCCCCCTCAAATAAGACGTCACAAAGCTCTGCCCTCCCCCCCCCAAAACCATATTTCCATTTTGAAAATAAAACATGCATCAAATCGCTTTAAACTATTGTCATTGTAGTGCGTATTTAATGTGGCGCTGCACTCTGATGTTGTAGGAGAAAACATTTATTAAAAAGTCCATTTAATTAAGTAGAACGTGTTATCTATATTTATTCAAAGTTGCGCATTTTGATGTGACGTCACATTTCTCAAACCCCCCCCCCCCCCCTCGTCACACATCGTCACAAATGTCTGACCCCCCCCCCCCCCCCAGGTGCGTGACGTCATTTATGGACGGCCCCTAAACACTTCCAACAGGGAATGCTATATAATCCTTCGTGCTACCCGACTTTGGAATTCCATCCCATTGTCTCTTTGCCCAAGTATCCCACAGCCTTGTGCTTTGCGCCCACGCTCAACAACCGCGATTAACAAAACAAAACTCAGGACGAAGGAAACTCCTGGCAGGTGGGGCGAAACGTCGGACATCGTGCCCAACGATGCACGGGACGAGCCGAAAAAAAAATCGGGGAAAGGTCGTACTACGATCTCGCAATATCCGCAGAGGTGGAAAAGTCAAATATCAAAACCCTGACACATTGACAACCAAGGGAGGGCCTAACATTGATTGGATAGCGTGTTCACTTATGACGGGTTACATACCGCAACACTGTACGGGCGATGACAGCTCTGTCAACATGTCTGGGGAATGAGGCCATGGTACAAGGTGGAAGTGCTTACGAATCTGTAACCGATTCCTGAGTCGATCTCAAAAGAATCTTAAAACTATTTCCATCCTTTATGTTTCATTTATGTTTATCCCATTGAAGTACCCCAAGGTCAGTGCTTCAAATAATTTTAAAACTACAGGACTGAGGCTTCAAAAATTAACAATATTATTTTATCCATTTTAATGGCTTTTAAGACCGCAAACTGAAGTATTTTTTTGCTAAAAAATTTTTTTTCGTATATAGTGTATTGAACATGTACACACTTCCCCTCGCTCTGTGCGGGTTCAGTTTCTGCGATTTCGTGTATATATGCAGCCAACCTATGCCTACCCAAAATTCGCTAAATGCGCTATCCAATTCACTCCCCCCCCCGCCCCCCGTTCACTCACCGTGCGAGATTCCATCCGCCGGCGCCACGCCCCCCACAAAGTCCCCGACGGGCAGCAAGAGGCGGCGGGAGGACCTCGCTCTGCCCGGGCGTGTCGGGGACGTCACCGGCGACGGCGGCGTCTCCACGGACCTCCTCTCGTCAGCCTGCCCCGTGGTCTCATCGCCGCCGGGCGAGGCCGGTGCACGGACCGTCGTCGCTGGGGTGTGAATAAAAGGTAACCACGTGTTCCCCGCTCGTCAATCGGTCACATTGACCTTTGCTCTGGTTCGGTAAACAACAAAACGAATGTGAACAAATGACACTTAACACGTAGGCTTTCGCTACCAATATTATCTATGATAATGGAGAGGTTGTTATTTTTTTGGGTTAGATCGCGTAAATATAAATGTGTCGTTAAACCCGCCACCACCCGACAGCCAATTATGAAGGTTTTTTCACGAAAAAAAATCATGCCAATTCGTTACTAGTACAGCACACCGGTGTGTTGGAGAGTAAACATTGTAAATGTTGTGTGTTTACTCTCCAACACACCGGTGTGCTGAACTAGCAACGAATTCGCATGTTTTGTTTACGTGACAAACTTTACTAACTGGCCGAGTCGGGTGGTGGTGTGTTCACATTTATGTTTACACGATCTAACCACGAAAAAATACCTCTCATGGACAAATTACACTTGTATACCCGGGAGAGTCTCACTGAGTCTCAAGGCACTTTTTCGGGAGGGCCCTGCCAGTTTTTAACTGTTGCTGTGTGGAATTCCAATTGAGTAATGTTTCGGCATTGTGATGTCAAGGCCAATAACCCAGTTTAATTTTATGGGTTTTTTTGTATCTATGGGAGGAAACTGGAGAAACCCAGAGGAAACCCATGCCAAACGGGGGCAGAGAACATACAAACTCCACACAGAAAGAAAACCCAAGTCGAGAATCGAACCCAGGTGACTTCTTGTTGTTAGGCACGAGTATTACCATTCTTCCATCCTGCCACCTCTGAGGTGCAATAATCCAGGACGTATCATGTGAGCAAGAGTGGTGTCGTAGTAGTATTATTATGCTACTGACAAAAAACGGGTAGTTAAAATGCCTTGGGAAAACTTACGGATTTTTGGCAGGATGGCAACTGCCACAAACAAGTGTACGATCGTGGAATCTTGGGAAAACCAGGACTAGTGGCAGCCCCAGCCATGACTCGACCCACCTGCATCGGAGAATTTGACTCCATCCGCTCTGGGAGAGAATTCCGCCGTCGCCTTCCGGCACGCCGGGTTGACGAGCGTGGACGAGCCGGACTCCACGCCGCAGTAGACGTGCGCCAAGCTCGTCGAGTGGGCCACCGAGGGATGGTGGCGGCGATGACGATTGGCAGCCGCGGCAGGAGGAGGAGGAGGCGGTGACACGGCAGGAGGAGACAGCGCAGCGGCTGCAGCGACGTGAGGCCTCACCGCGACGTGCTTGTTCTTTTTCTTGGGCAGCTTCTGCTTGGCCATGGCGAGCGAGTAGTACATGCCGAAGTTGTTCACGATCACGGGCACCGGCATGGCGATGGTGAGGACGCCGGCGAGCGCGCACAGCGCTCCGACGAGCATTCCGGGCCACGTCTTGGGGTACATGTCCCCGTAGCCGAGCGTCGTCATGGTCACCACGGCCCACCAGAACCCGATGGGGATGCTCTTGAAGTGAGTGCTCTTGTCTTCGCCGCCGTGGGACGCAGCCGGAGCGGAACCGGCGCCCCCGTCGAGGTCGCCGCCTCCGAGGCGCTCGGCGTAGTAGATCATGGTGGCGAAGATGAGCACGCCCAGCGCCAGGAAGATGACGAGCAGCAGGAACTCGTTGGCGCTGGCGCGCAGGGTCTGGCCGAGGACGCGCAGGCCGACGACGTGACGCGTCAGCTTGAAGATGCGCAGGATGCGCACGAAGCGGACGACGCGCAGGAAGCCGAGGGCGTCGCGCGCCGCCTTGGACGACACGTGGCTGAGGGCCACCTCCAGGTAGAAGGGCCAGATGGCTACGAAGTCGATGATGTTGAGCGTGTTCTTGACGAAGTCGGCCTTGTCCGGGCATGACGCGATGCGCACCAGGAACTCGAAGGTGAACCACACGACGCACATGCCCTCGATGTACGTCAGCATCGGGTGCCGGTCGATGTAAATGTCCATGCCGCTGCTGGTAACGGTGGCGGTCGTCGTGGTGGTGGTGGTGGCGACAGCGGTGGTCGTGAGAGGGAAACCTGGAGAGAGGGTAACAATCTTGAGAAGAATGGCAGCTCAAATTTCGATTTAAAGCTTTCGTGACTGCAGGGATTCATCTTCTTGGTTCTTTCGGTAAAGTCACGTAGAAGGGAAGTAATAAAATAATAAAAATAAAACATAATAAAATAAAATAATATTAAATATTATTATGTTTTATTTTTATTATTTTATTACTTCCCTTCTACGTGACTTTACCGAAAGAACCAAGAAAATGGCAGCTCAGTCAACAGACAGGTTCAACTAATCGCGAGCTGCGTGACACTGAGAAGGACCCTAACGAGTTGCGGCGTTTTGAGTGTACGCTCGGGCAGGGATACCTTTGCTCTCTGAATATTTTCCTGGCACACCCCATTAGAGCCACAGCTCTCATGGGGTGTGTGCCAGGTGTGGAAAGATCTTCTGGGTCAATTGGCTTTTGTACTCGGGTAAATTTTTGACACTTAGTCGAGTGTGCATTTGTGCATTTTGCAACGTCAAAAGTTAGGTGCAATGTGAGTTGATATGGCCTAGACTGGGGTCGCATCCATGCCATATGCTGAGAGGAGAGTCTACATTTGTGTTTTTGTGCGGTTACTTTGGCGATTTTGACGCAGGTTTTAAACAATCCTAAATTGCAAGCTGATACAAGATTTTCCGTGAAAAGCCCATGCTGGTGTAAATTAATGCCTCTTGCAAACGCATGGGTATTTTTCACGTCTGTCATGTGTGTTGCAATAATACGAGTACTGTTAGTACTTTACGTGCTTTCTTCAGGTCTATTTACCATTTTGACTCTCACACTTTCATTCCATTTTTCGATTTAAAGCTTTGGTGACTGCAGGGATTCATCTTCTTGGTTCTTTCGGTAAAGTCAAGTAGAAGGGAAATAATAAAAATAAAACATAATAAAATAATTCTCACGACGGGTCTGTCGGAAAGACAGACCTGTTCTTCACCTGTCGGAAAGACAGACCTGTTCTTCACCTGAGGACGGCTGCTTGCGTTGTGGCCGAAACGTCGTGAGAATAATTTTATTATGTTTTATTTTTATTATTATATGATTTCCCTTCTACGTGACTTTACCGAAAGGACCAAGAAGACTTTCATTCCAATTTGTCCAAGCGAGGACATTTCGCGAGACGAAGTGTCCGTCCACAACCCTCGCGAGACAATGGCCTGCGGAAGTATACATTACAGAACTAATTCTGAAATCTGTACCGATGACCATTTTCATCCAGACAGTCGGCAGTGCACTTTGTTAGCCCGCTTGTACCACGTAAAGAGATGTTCTCCCCTTGACTGTCACACCCATATATTTGTTTTCATGCGCAGAGGTTAGCAATTTGCATTAAATCAAGTGAAAATCTTAATTTATACGTCACTGGGTTGTTTTGCCGTCATTGCTGACGGGGATTAAAACGACGAATTAAGCACACTTGAGAACCCTGTTTGTATACGGGAGGACAACTGGAATCAACCGAAGGCCCTCAGACTCAGTGTTCTAACCTCTGAGCCACGCGGTCACCTCTATCTTTTTTTTTTATTATGCAATTAAGGGTTCTCAATTGCGGCGTCAAGGGCCCGTTGCAATTTGTGAATAATCCTCTGAACCTTCAAGAAAAAAAAGCACCAGGATTCACAACATCGAGGCACCGCGTGTGACACTGGTGACCTGTTGCACAAATGAAATGCGTGAGTCAGAAAAAAAATACGAAATTTGCCAATTTGTCCCAATTTTGTTGTCGGTGTCATGTACAAAAGGCCCTATTATGATCGCTCTCTCTCTCTCTCTTAGAGCAATTGAACCCTCCGCGTTAGAGGCCGAACAGGATATGAGAGAACTACTTCTGAGGCCCTTTCGCGTGACCTCTATTCACACGAGAGGGGAGTACTTTCCCCACCCTGCTAGGGAGAGCGAAGTTTGCAATTACACCGAGAAATCATCGCTCCCCCCCCCCCCCCGACTGCCAAACCAATTCCCATTTTGCAGCCCACCTGCTGAGTCTACATTGTGCCACACAGGGACAGCTGCCACGGGGGGTGCCCTTTCAAATGTGTCGAGATGTGACGCGATATCAAAATCGCTCGCGTAAAGGAGAGGGATTCTTAAAAAAAACAACGAATCAATACCATGATAGTCAAACTGATACTTTCAATTATGAGAGCTGTGACGTAGGGAAATTGAGTGTAAAACCCAGACTTTGTGAATGTTTTTTTTTCTTTCCGTGCAGTCATCGGTGAGCAGATGAGACCTTTATACGTCGATTCATCCCACGGACGTATCGAATTAACGCACGTTCATCAACACCACTACGTCCATCAACAAAACTACCTTTAAATATATAATCGGCGACGTTTCAGGCAAAGGACCTTGTTAGTTGTCTCTTAGGTCATGTTCTTTGGGTCTGTCGTCATGATCATTGTGTTATGATCATTGTGTCATTATAAATATTCAGGGTACTGAGTTATGAAGAGGTGCAAAACGCGGCTCCTACAAAGGCCTTTTCATGAATGCGAACCCCATTTATTTTCACCCGTTAATGATCGATTAAGTGACACCTAATTATCACTCTCACCTTCCCCGAGGTGTGTGCACATGTCTTCGACAATGCTTAGGCCGTAGCGTGGGCGTCCTAGTTGTGTGGAGATAGCAGCTGCTGAGTTGGAGTTAAGATAAAGCACAGGTGGCGTGTTCCAAAAAAGTTAACATTGACTAAATACAATAAAAATGTCTGTTAGGGGATGGTGGTCACAACATGCAAACAGTAGATTGGTGCCACGCTGACGAGATGCTAACGACCTCGCCTGGTGCCTGGTATACAGGAGGTTGTGGGTTCGATTCCGACCCTGATGCCTGCTGCTGTATATTTGGAGTTTGCACGTGTCTCTCTCTCCCTGTGGTCGCGTGGATTTTTCTCCGGGTTTCCCCCTCCCCCACACATTAAGAATCAACACGCTTTTAGAGTATTTGGCTTCTATAAATGTTCACATGATAAGCCACTTCGCTGAACTGTCATTTTTGATGGCCAGGTCACTTCCGAAAAACAGCTATATAGCTGAGTGGGCCTTACCTGGTAAAATAAAATAAAAATTGTTTCGTTTTAGTTTACGCATACATCAGACGGATAACTGCAGGGAGATTCTGGATCCGACTGATGAATTAAAGAGAGACAACCACGCCCAGGATGGCGTGAAGAACAACTTATGTGCAGCAGTGAAACGGAAGAAAAACATCACCCGGAGCCTTGAAGGACTGGAGGAATTCATTCATCCAGGAGTGGGAAGACGACAACGTTCAGGGGCTCAAAACAGCTTCATCTCACGTTATGCTGCCTGTAGTTCTGATACCTTCTGATATCATATTATGTCATGCTTCCAGAAGGTTATATGATATCTCACGATATGCTGCCTGTAGGAGTTGTGATATTATTCCATGATGTGCTGTCTGTAGGAGCTCTGACATCATCTCACTATAAATTCTTAGAGTTAAATCAAAAACATTTTGTATAAAATGTAAACCCATGGCTTAAGAGCTCGAGCAGAATGCACGATGGGAGAAAAAAAAACACGTCGCATCTCCTCACTCATTCACATTCGCGTTTACGATGTATTTTAAGTTTGTTTAGCAATTATGGTGCCCCAATTTGGGGGTTTCTATGGACCCCCCCCCCTGCCACGCTACGTTTGGCGACTGTAGAAATTTCCGGTCGGACACATTTTTTTAAAATCCTTTATATCAAGTTTGCTTGCTTGCTTAGGACCGTGCAAATACTTCGGTCGTTTTTTTAACCCACTTCCCGTGATCCAATCGAGCTGACATTTTGCACACAGACTCGTTGTGCGTGACAATGCATTTTCGTGAAAAAATGTTTCCAAAATTTTACACGGTTTAGGGGAAAATAAATAAATATTTATTTTCCAATTGCTTAATGCTGCCAGACAATCATCTGACCCATAGGTGGCAGCCAGAGGACGAGAGGACTCTAGCCGCCCCGATGCCACGCATATTAAGGATTTATAGTGAAAAACTTTGTTTTTACGGGTTAATTTTTTTAATGTGAACAACCTCACCTTGTGGAGCTTGGATCACGCCCATCAGGGAGACGTTGGAGGAGGATGAAGAGGATGAGGAGGAGAGCGGGTGGTGAGTGGTGGTGGCATCTCCGTGCGGCCGGTGAACCACGATGTTGAACGACTCGTGTGTCTCCAGGCAGAACGTGGTGATGGAGACCATGATGAAAAAGAGCGACGCGAAGGCGATGAACTGGCGGAGGGGAGGAGACCAAGAACAGACGTTTCGCAACGCAAGTTTCAAGTTGATTTTGTTTAAGCATGTGACCACTCAAGAGGGCCAGGATGAGCCTCAACTATAACACATTACTCAACTGGACTATATATTTATTTATTTTACCAGGTAAGGCCCATTGAGCTACAGTACATACCTCTTTTTCAGAAGCAACCTGGTTGCCGCGAATGATGGCTCAACGAGTGGGCTTATCGCGTGCAAATTTTTACAGCAGCCAAATACTCTAAACGCGTGATGTTGATTGCTAAATGTGGAGGGGAAGCACCGGAGGACTCGGAGAAAAATCCACGCGACCACGGGGAGAGAGAGAGAGCCACGCAAACTCCAAATATACAGCAGCAGGCGTCAGGGTCGGGATTGGGATCGAACCAACGACCTCCTGTATACCAGGCGAGGTCGTTAACATCTCACCACAGTGGCGCCCACGTTTGCAAGACTCAGCTGGGTCATCAAAGTGATGGAAGCCAAATAAAAATAAAGTACAACAACGACGCAAACAGAAATCAGCGCAAAATCAACTATCATGATGAATCATTTGAACAAAATAAAACGTCGGTTTTCATAGCCAATGCGTTCATCCACATTTTATATTTGGACGTGGCCACGCAGTGGTTTTATGACAATATTATTGTCCGTAACCCTCCACCACCCGACAAGATTGTCGCCACGTTTACAAAGAGACGATTGTTGCTGGCAGTAGTAGCATTAATAAGCCGAATGAGAAGCTCAGAGCAGCTTGAGAGGGAGACGTCGTGGCATGTGGTGCCACAACGACGGGGCCGCTCTGCCGAACCAGGGAGCCGCCCGGCTTCCCCCACCGCACTGCCCCCCATCACCCGCCCCACATAAGCACACACCCGCACGCATTCCCCCCCCCCCCATAGAGCTGGAAGGGAAGGTCACCTGATCGACCGGTTTTTATCCGAGAGACCCTTATCGGGATTAATTCTCACGGTTTCCGGCGATCAGGGAATTGGATGACCTCCCCGTGCTACGTGGCACCGCGGCGCTGCGGCCGGCCTTAATATGGTAGGTCGTGGCGTGGGGCATTCGGCCACCGCGGTTGAGGCGCATTTCCCCCCACACACACTCCCACGGGTCGACGGGGCGAGCAGGGGAGGCACGGGACAGCATGAATAGCGGGGTCACAGGGGCTGTTGCGCATAGTCATGGAGGGTTGGGATAATTGCGCTTGAGCGCGCAGGCCCCATTGTTAGGGAGGGTAAGGGATTAAGTAGGATTTACGCCTTGCACGCGGCACACTGATTAGCATATCAACAGCACCCAGAACCGCCGTGCGCGTGCCAGAGGATCGCGAGCCCATTGTTTAGCGCAGCATCCCCTTGAAGGTAGGGAGGATAAATAGAGGGGCGCAGAGGGAAAATAGCTCTCTTACTCCAGCGCCAGGCGACCAGACGCAGCTCGAGCCAGCGACCCGGACGTCCGTGCGACGCACCGAGGCACGCGGTTAACACAAGGATCAGCGGACCGCCGTGGACACTTAACAGTGAGTAAGAAGGGGAATTAGAATCATAGCCGATAAATAGGGAATAGGTGCCGGTTTAGTGGAATAGGCCAGCCTCGTCGACTCACTAATTCAACATTAGTTATCAGGTAATAAATCATTAATAGCGAAGCGTGGTCTCGCGTGATCTTGTCGTGCAGTGTGAGCGTGTGGGAACGCGTGTGGTACTGTGTGTGCGTAAGCTCGCAGCGTGCGTAATCGGCGTCCCCCAGGTGCGCGATCATAGCGTAATCGGCTGCGCATTGTTGTACGGTTTATCTCGCGCGCACGGCGGCGGCGACTTTAGTCGTTGTGTCGGCGTGTGCCCCGCTTGCGTGTGCTCGTTACGTGTTATAAGTGTGAATGCGTGTAGTACGGTGTAGGCGTAAGCTCTCGTCGTGCGAAATCGGCGTACCCCAGGTGCGCGATTGTAACGTGAGCGGCCAGCGCGGCGCAGAGAAGCGCAAGAGTGAGTGCCGTACGGAGCTGTGTGTGTGGGTGTGCGCGTACGTAATTAACCATGCCTGCTACGCGGACCCGCGGTGGAGTGGAATCCTCGGGCGACGGCTCCCACCCCATGGGTGAGGAACTTAGCAGCGGTTCGCTTAGCAGCGGGGGGGCGATTGATGATGCTAGCCCGGCCGTTAACATTATCGAGGGAGGGATCTCGGGGGCTAGCGACCCCCACAAATTGGTGTCGGAAGCGGTACGGACCCCCGCGTTACCTCACGCTAAAATAAGACTAATATTTACCGGCCGGGGGGCCCCTTCGTGGAAGGCATTCGCCCGCAATCTCTTAGGGGCCAAGGAAATTAATGGATGGACGGACGCGCAGGCAGTACGTCAACTTAATATGAATCTTGATGGGCGGGCAGCCGATTTTGTAGAAGCGTTACCCGCGAGCGCACAGACACAGCTAGAGGAGCTGATGCGCCGACTCGATCAGCGGTTTGGCACGCGTGACGAGGAGGAAGCAAAATCGGCCTTAGAGGCGCGCCGGCGCCAACCTGGCGAAGATCTACGTGATTACGCCGAGGATGTGCGCGAGTTAACAAAGATCGCACGCCCGGGGTACGCAACTGATGTTATTGAGGAACTGGCCGCCGAGAAAATCCAGCGGTACCTGTCTCGCACGGCGTGGTGGCAGCCAGACATGAGCTGCCCACGTCTTCCCTTTAACGCCCTTGTCGAGCGCGCACGTAAGTGTGAAAGAATTCACAGCGAACGCGCGCAGCTCCGGGGGCTGGGACGAGAGCGCGCCATTGCGAGCCTGCTCTCGGAAGACGAGGAGGAGGAACAGGAGCTCGCGAGGACGGTAAGGGGCCGGGAAAGAGAGCCTCCAGTGTCCCGCGAGACAACCCCGGGATGGGTTGCCGGTATACAAACGGGTATAAAGGATGTCTCCGGCCAGGTAACCCAGATAGACAACAAGGTAACTCACGTAGGTGAGAGGGTAACCCAGGTACGCGAGGAAACGAATAAAAATATGACCCAACTGCAATCCTCCGTTGAGACCATCCGATCCGAGATGGGGGAACTAGACTCCACGGTAGGAGGGCTAACTGGAAGGATAGCGCGACTAGAAGCAGAGTATGAGCAGCAGCGCACTGGGGGAGGAGGGAGTGGGCAGAGAGCCCACTACGGAGCCGCCACCCCTCCCCGGGCATGTTACATGTGCGATCGCCGAGGGCATCTAGTGAGGGACTGTCCTCAGGTCGCCCGAGCTAGACAAGAGCTAAGGTCAAACACTAAGGCCCCCCTAGAGAGGGGACCACCGGGGGGTGAAATCGACGTAGCCCCGACACAAACAAGCTGTGAGAATAATGGCGAGCGAGTGATCTCCACACAGGTTCCAGCAACAACGCCCACAGAAACGGTGACTCCTGGCGACTGGCTGCGGGAGCTGGTGGCGGGGATCACGGGGGCCACGTCGCTGGTGGAAGGGGAGGTAAACGGAGTGCGTACCCGCATCCTACTGGACACGGGGGCGGTGGCCTCGCTCGTGAGCGCAGCGCACTGCAGCGCGATCGGGGTCGACGTGCGTCACCTGCAGGCCCCGGACCGCGCGCTGCACACGGCGAGCGGAGCCGGAATGGGGCTGCTGGGGAAAGCCACCCTAGAGGTCCGCATAGGCAGCCAGGTATGCACGCAGGAGTTCTACGTGTCGAGTGCGTTGTGTCACGAGTGTATCGCAGGCACCGACCTCCTAGAACGGTTGGGACTCAACGTGCAACCCCGCCAGCGATGCGCCACCATGGAGAGCAACGGCGAGCGGATACCGTTCCTGGGACGAGAACCAACGCGCCGCCGCTTTGCACCTGTGGCCGCTATCCTGGCGACGGCAGTCACCATCGGCCCGCTCACCGAGATGCTGGTGCCGGTGGCAACATCCCCCACCGACCCCGCGCTCCGACCATCAGGGGAGGTAATGCTAACTCCTCACCCGGAGTTGGCAAAACGGTATGGGGTTGTGGGATCCGCCACGTTGGTAAACGCAGATGGGGACCGATTGTTTATGCAGATGTTTAACCCCCACAATACCCCCGCGATACTGCGACGGCGCACCCCGATAGCCACAGTACACCCCCTGCACGCACGCCACTCTAACGACTCGGTGTTCGCACTCTGGGCTGAGGACCCCGGTCGTCCTGAGGGTGAGCAGGACCTGGCCTGGCGAGTCGGCCCGACTCCCCGAGCCGAGGTCGTTCCCCTGCTCGACGCGTTACATGTACCATGGGCGGACTTACCTAAGGGAGAGGCCGATCGGCTGCGCGAGTCACTGCGGGAGTATGCCGACGTGTTCAGCGAACACGACTCGGACGTGGGTCGGACCGACCTTGTTAAGCATCAAATTGACACCGGTGCAGCCCGACCCATCAAACTCCCTGCGTACCGAGTGGGCGCACCCGAACGCGCCCAAATCAAAGAGGCAGTTGGGGACATGCTTCGCGATAACATAATTCAGCCCTCGGCGAGCCCCTGGTCAGCCCCGGTGGTACTAGTAACGAAAAAGGATGGGTCAACCCGGTTCTGCGTCGATTACCGTAAACTAAACGCAGTCACGCTCGGCGATGCCTTCCCCATACCTCGCATCGACGACACCTTCGACAGTCTCGCAGGAGCGCGGTATTTTTCCACCCTCGATCTGGCATCCGGTTACTGGCAGGTGGAGATGACGGAGGAGGATCGGCCAAAAACAGCATTCACCACCCCGATGGGCCTGTTTGAGTTTCGAGTGTTGCCGTTCGGACTCACCAATGCGCCCGCGACGTTCCAGCGGCTGATGGAGTTGGTGATGCGGGGCTTGCATTGGGAACAGTGCCTGATTTACTTGGACGATGTGATAGTGTTCAGTAGATCTTTGTCTGAGCATTGGTCCAGGCTTCGAGAGGTGTTCCAGCGACTGCGAGCGGCTCATCTCAAGCTCAAGCCACGTAAGTGTTACATCGCACAACGCGAGGTGGGGTACCTCGGGCATCGCGTCAGCGAGGCAGGCGTGCACACCGATCCGGAGAAGGTACGCGCCGTAGTGGAGTGGCCACGGCCAAGGAATCTGACGGAGATCAGATCATTTTTGGGGCTTGCCACCTATTATCGTCGATTTGTAAAGGGATTCAGCGAGATTGCACGCCCCCTCACCCAACTCACTTCCCCTAAGCACCCCTATCAGTGGACGGGGGCCTGCCAGACGGCCTTCACCACTCTCAAAGACCACCTCACCCACGCCCCCACCCTTGCTTTCCCCGATTTTACCACCGATTTTATTTTGGACACCGACGCCTGCAGCAGCGGGCTGGGCGCGGTGTTGTCACAGGTACAGGATGGGACGGAACGAGTCATCGCGTACGCCAGCCGGACCTTGAGTGGGGCCGAGCTGAACTATTGCGTGACCCGCCAAGAGTTGTACGCCGTGATTTTCGCATGTAAGCAGTTCCGGCCGTATTTGTACGGCAGGAGATGTCGCGTACGCACTGACCATTATGCTCTGCAGTTTCTTCTTACATTCAAGGAGCCGCGGGGGCAGATGGCCCGGTGGTTGGCGCAGTTGCAGGAGTACAACCTGCAAATCGAGTATCGGGCTGGCCGGACGCATGCAAACGCGGACGCCTTGTCGAGGCGACCCACGGTGTACGCCGAGACGAGGGCGGAGGAGGCCTGCCCGTGTTTCACGGGGGGACGCTGCCGGCAGGCAACGGACCCCCGAGAGGCCGCGGCCACTGACCCCCCCCCAGCGAGGGAGAGTGCAGTGTGCGCCACAGAAACCCTCACAGGTGGCACTGAGGATCCCGTCGACCGCCCGGCAAGCGCGGGACCCGCGGCTCGGGACCCGATCGGACGGATCCAGGAGGACGTCGGCTGCGCCTTCCCGGGCCTAAACGACGAGCAGCTGAGACAGACCCAGCAGCGAGATCCGGATCTGGCGGCAGTGGAGGCGGCACTGCGGGAGGAAAAGAGCGCCCTACCAGGACCCTGGAGCGGTTTGTATGCCCGGTTGTGTGTGCGGAACGGAGTGGTACGGGAGTTAACCGAGGCCGGCCAGCCGGGGTGCATCTGTGTTCCTGCCCAGGTGCGACCCCAGCTGCTACGGCTGGTGCATGACCACCCACTCGGGGGCCACGATGGGGAACGACGCACTCGAGAGACCCTGCGTCGCCAGTATCTCTGGCCCAAATTGGCACAAGATGTGGCCGCCTGGGTGCAGGGCTGCCGGGCCTGTCAGCAGTGTGGGCAAAAGCCGGCGAGGTACCAGGTACCCCTGAGGCCGTTCCGAGTCAGTCGGACGAATCAGTTGGTCGGAATCGACCTGCAGGGGCCCTTTCCACGATCCCACCGGGGCAACCGATATATTCTCGTAGCGGTGGAATACTTCACCCGCTACCCCGTGGCGGTGGCTATCCCGGATAAAACAGCCCTTGTAGTGGCCCGGGCCTTCGTGGAAAACTACGTACTTAAGTGCGGGATCCCCGAACGAGTCATTACCGACCAGGGTAGTGAATTCGAGGCCGAACTATTTCAGGCGCTGTGCCGAGAGTTCGGGATCCAGAAGGACCGAACCACGGCGTATCACCCCCAGGCGAACGGGATGGTAGAGAGGATGAACCAGACTCTGGCCGGGAAGCTTAAACGCATGGCGGCCGCGAATCAACAGGACTGGGACGAACACCTTCCCTATGCCCTGTTCGCCTACACCACCGCCGTTCACACCTCTACAGGACAGACCCCGTTCCTAATGATGTTTGGTCGCGAGTCTCGCCTGCCCGCAGATCTGCTGTTCGGTGTTCCTCCGCCGCAACGGGAGGAAGGGAGCCACCCCGTGGAGCACTTGCTGGAGACCCTGCGAGGGGCCAGGGGCCGAGCCGGCCCGCACGGAGAGGCCGCGCACCAGCGGCAAGAGCAGGGCGCCCGACCCCGTATGGAGCCCCCCTTCTACACTGCGGGCTCCGAGGTGTGGCTGTACACTCCCCGCGTCGGTGCCGGACAGGTGGGGAAGCTGACCACCTACTGGCGAGGACCCTGGATTGTGAGACGGCAGATCTCACCATGGACGGTGCTGATTCAGGGAGGAGAGAGGGGCCGGGAGATGGTGGTCAACATCCGCCGACTGAAGCCGTGGCGAGCAGCCCCCGAGGGGGGGAGCCCCGCCGTCCAAGTACCCCGAAACCCCGGGGTCCCCCCACCCCCCGTGCCCGGGGGCCTCGCGCAGTACATGGGCCCCACGGAGCCCCGGGCTCCGAGGGGCCCCGGGCGGGGCCGGGGGCGACGAGGACGGCGACCCTTAAACCCCACCGCCTCTGAGTTTGTTCCCCAGCCCGCAGGTGCCAGAGGCCGAGGGGAGCCGTTGGAATGGAGGAGGAGACCACCGCCGGAGCCCCAGGAGACGGAGCCGCCACCCCCGAGGCCAGCCACAAGGGCCGGGCGAATCCCGCGGACCCCGCGGCGATACCTCGTGGGGGCAACCCAGGCGAGGTGCTCCAGTCAACCCGGGACGGGGACTGGCACCCCGGGGGGCTATGTGGTGCCACAACGACGGGGCCGCTCTGCCGAACCAGGGAGCCGCCCGGCTTCCCCCACCGCACTGCCCCCCATCACCCGCCCCACATAAGCACACACCCGCACGCATTCCCCCCCCCCCATAGAGCTGGAAGGGAAGGTCACCTGATCGACCGGTTTTTATCCGAGAGACCCTTATCGGGATTAATTCTCACGGTTTCCGGCGATCAGGGAATTGGATGACCTCCCCGTGCTACGTGGCACCGCGGCGCTGCGGCCGGCCTTAATATGGTAGGTCGTGGCGTGGGGCATTCGGCCACCGCGGTTGAGGCGCATTTCCCCCCACACACACTCCCACGGGTCGACGGGGCGAGCAGGGGAGGCACGGGACAGCATGAATAGCGGGGTCACAGGGGCTGTTGCGCATAGTCATGGAGGGTTGGGATAATTGCGCTTGAGCGCGCAGGCCCCATTGTTAGGGAGGGTAAGGGATTAAGTAGGATTTACGCCTTGCACGCGGCACACTGATTAGCATATCAACAGCACCCAGAACCGCCGTGCGCGTGCCAGAGGATCGCGAGCCCATTGTTTAGCGCAGCATCCCCTTGAAGGTAGGGAGGATAAATAGAGGGGCGCAGAGGGAAAATAGCTCTCTTACTCCAGCGCCAGGCGACCAGACGCAGCTCGAGCCAGCGACCCGGACGTCCGTGCGACGCACCGAGGCACGCGGTTAACACAAGGATCAGCGGACCGCCGTGGACACTTAACAGTGAGTAAGAAGGGGAATTAGAATCATAGCCGATAAATAGGGAATAGGTGCCGGTTTAGTGGAATAGGCCAGCCTCGTCGACTCACTAATTCAACATTAGTTATCAGGTAATAAATCATTAATAGCGAAGCGTGGTCTCGCGTGATCTTGTCGTGCAGTGTGAGCGTGTGGGAACGCGTGTGGTACTGTGTGTGCGTAAGCTCGCAGCGTGCGTAATCGGCGTCCCCCAGGTGCGCGATCATAGCGTAATCGGCTGCGCATTGTTGTACGGTTTATCTCGCGCGCACGGCGGCGGCGACTTTAGTCGTTGTGTCGGCGTGTGCCCCGCTTGCGTGTGCTCGTTACGTGTTATAAGTGTGAATGCGTGTAGTACGGTGTAGGCGTAAGCTCTCGTCGTGCGAAATCGGCGTACCCCAGGTGCGCGATTGTAACGTGAGCGGCCAGCGCGGCGCAGAGAAGCGCAAGAGTGAGTGCCGTACGGAGCTGTGTGTGTGGGTGTGCGCGTACGTAATTAACCATGCCTGCTACGCGGACCCGCGGTGGAGTGGAATCCTCGGGCGACGGCTCCCACCCCATGGGTGAGGAACTTAGCAGCGGTTCGCTTAGCAGCGGGGGGGCGATTGATGATGCTAGCCCGGCCGTTAACATTATCGAGGGAGGGATCTCGGGGGCTAGCGACCCCCACAGGCACGTTCGGGGTCAGTGCAGTCGCGACAAGTCCAAAGCCCCCGGTGGCGAGGAGCATCGTCGGTCATGAAGCTTGGCGGCGACTTGGGGAGGCACTCAACCATGGCTTGACTACGGCTGCTCCTGATGATGATGATGATGTATTATGTATCGCATATTGCATATTACATTCCTTGCCTATTGACTCTACATCCCCTCCCCACCTCGTCCATCATTCAACCACCCTGTCCACCCCCGATGGTGAAGATATTTTATTTTATTATTTTATTATCAGCATCATCATCATCATCGTCGTTGTGACACTGGTTCACCCAGGATAGCCTCGCTGTGTCTCAATACTATTTTTCACGAGGATCCGGCCACATTTTTCGCAGTAGGGGCGACGGAGAGGGGCGAGGTTACTGCGGTGTGCAATCCCAAATTGAGTAAATTTGCAGGTGGATCTTCAGCATTGGGATGTTTGGCGAATACCAATTGCAGCGGTTTGCGTGTGATACGGGAGAATGACGGGGGGCTAACGTGCAAACTCCACGCAGAAAGTCACCCGAGTTAGGAATCAAACCTCGGAACCTTCTCTCCGTGAGACACAAGCGACACCCTGTAGCCACCTCTACACCACCACCACCACCAAATATATAGAAAATCAATCTCCCCTACAATGATGACCACACGGCGCTCGGCGTAGTAAGAAATAAAAAAGCAAAAGAGGCCAACAAAACATGCCGCTTCCTTCCCTTCTCAGCCTTACCCTGGCAGCTCGTGACGAGTAGGGGTCCTCGAACAGCGCCCAGACCCTGCGCTGCCAAACTCCGCAGCAGCGAGCCTTGCCCCCTCTGCCCGAGCAAGGCGACGTGCACGCCGTGTCCTCAAGCCCATCGTCGACTCCTTCCCCGAGCGAGGCGCAGTTGTTGTGGTGATGCTGCTGCTGCTGTTGCTGCTGCTGTCCGCCGGCGCCGCCGTTCAGGTAAGGGCTCTCGAACTTGACGAGCGCCTCCTCGGCGTCGCGGTGATGCCGGTAACTCATCCAGCAGCACGCCTCGATGTCCGTCTCGTCGATGCCCCAGTAGGCGAGCTCCTCCTCGAACAGCGGGCCGCACACCTCGGCGGGGCAATGCAGCTTGCCCGTGCGGTAGTAGTTGAGGATGATGGCGAACACGATGGGGTGACGGTCGAAGAAGAACTCGCCCGTGTGCGGGTCGTAGTTGGGTCCGCCCGGAGCGCGCGAGTCGGCGAGTCGAGCGAGCCGCGTGCCCGGCAGGGTGCGCAGGGTGCCGCGGTAGGTCTCGTGGCGCGTGCCGCCCACGTTAATCACCACGCGCTTCTCGCACGGCGGCGACGGCGGCGGCGGCGGCTCGTGTTTCCTCATCATGGCGTGGCGCTTTAGACATGTCAGCGCTCGCCGGGCTGTCGTTGTGGTGGTGGTGGTGGTGGTGTTCGTTGGTGCTGGTGCTGCCGAAGTTGGGGTGTTAGGTTTAGTGCCGGGAGTGGTGATGGTGGTGGTTGGTTGGTGGTGAGCTATTGCTGCGAATGGAGATGGTGGTTGGGATTTTGGTGGTGGTGGTGGTGGTCGTGAGAACGAATTTGGTGGTGGCTGAAGCTTAAGTATGGCAGCGACTTCACAACACCACCAACAACTATCCCGTTTCACAAGGCAAACGTCGCCCCTACCCCCAAATCACGACCCACTTCCCCACCTCTGTCCCGCCTAACTCTACTCCCCTTTCGCCTTGCCTAGCATAGAGTCAACGCATCCGAGGCTTGACCCCGAGTCGCTACCCAAATCTCGCCAGCTCTCTTATTATTTACAAACTATCCCGATCACGCTGCACACAAGGATGAAGCCAGACCACCAGGTGCCCGTCTTCCTCTCGCTGCTAACCTCTGCTCTAATCTCTCCCCCCCCTCTCCTAAGTCATTTAATATTTCCTCCGTATATCGTGTGCTCCCCCCTCTCTCTCTCTCTTCATTCCATCTTAAGCTCCCATATACGGAAAAAAATAGTTCACCTTTAATCTCTCCAGCCAACGTTATACCTTCCGCTTTCTCCGCTCACTGCTATTCTAAAATTTCCTGGTCTCTGTTTCTCTTTCTTGCTCGTTCCTAATGCGCCTTACCTCTCTCTCTCTCTCTCTGCGCTGTCTTCTTGATTTCAGTCCACGTGTCCTCACTCCAAGCCCCTATTAATACCTCTGTGTCCCCGCCTCTCTTTCCTATCCCCTCCCTCCTTTTCGCCCTATTCTTGACCTCGCTCGCTTCACCCTTCCCCACCGACTCGCTCGTTGTGTCTCTCGGTGTGTTTTTTGTTGTTGTTGGTGGTGGTCGTTGCTATCTCGTATGTGGAAGTTCAACTCTGCCTGCCGCCAAGAGACGCACACAGGTAAACGGGGGAGTCACATTGCTCGTGAGTGTGAGCACGTGTGAGCATATACACACAGACACTGCACGGCACGAGGTGAGGCACGTGCGTTGTTGTTGTTGTTGTCTTTGTGTGTGTCCGTGGCTGTGCTTCTTTCGTGTGTGCGGGTCCACATGCGTGTGTCTGTGTGTCTGTTCGTGGTCTGTGTGCGTGTGTCTGCGTCTGTGTGCGTGTATCGTGTGTACTTGCGTGTCCGTGTGTCAGTATGTATATGTGTGTGCGGGTCTGTACGTATGCGCGTGCACTTTGTGCGTCAATGTATTGTGTCCGTGTGTCTGTGCCCGCTAGCAGCACTTGCCCAGCAAGCAGTTTGCCAGGCGAGCCTAGGGATCTTTGTCTCGATTCTCTGTCTCGGCGCGTCCGTGCGTCTCTTCGTGCGCGCGCGTGTCAGTGTCTATGCGTGTGCACGTGCGTCAGTGTGTCTCTGTGTGCGCGTGTGTCAGCGTGAGCCTACGTGTCTCTATGTGCGCGTGTCTCTCTCCATGTGCTGCGCGCGCGTGCGTGCTGCGCGTGCGTGTGATCTGCCTGTTGATCGCCCGCCTCTGGAGAGAAAGAAACCAGAAAAAAACACCCCCAATAGAGAAAACAGTGAACGCTTTCGATTGCCCTGTCCTGGTTATGGGGTTAAGGTTTGCGGGTTTTTTTGGAGAACCCCATTAAATAATTGCCCTTTTAAATAAAAATAGAAGAAACAATGATTATTAAGCCCCTAGTTTATCTTTCAATAGATATATTCTCCACATTGGCAAACCCATTACGAAATGAACATAAGAGCTCCACCTTCTGTTTTGTTTATGCACGCACACACATGCCAACATTCACGCGTAATATACATATATCCTCTGCATTTACCAGGATACGTTTATACCGTGTACACTACGTAATCATATACAGAATACACAATTCTTATATACACACCAATATGCATAAACGTACTCGCACACACAACACACATTTCTCAAAGCATTGTTGTGGATAGGCATACATAAATCAGCATAGTCTATGTACACGCACGTTCATATACACCCGTGTACATCTAAGAAGGCACCGATGAACATGAATACACACAAAGACTGCCCCCACCCCCTCAGCACACAGCCTTAAACAGACTGATGCGCAAGTGTTGTTAGCGAGCACCTATTAGACACGCACACACATGAAATCGCTCATCTTAACACATGCCCATGCACTCGGATATGAACACATACGTGACCATACACACACACACAACCACGCACACACAACCACTCACACACAACCACACACACACAAACACGCACACACAACCACACACACACAACAACACACACAGATACATTTACCAAACAAAACGAAATCCTAAATGTGCCACTATTCAGCTTCACGTACTATTGAGTCAAGTCTCCTACATACATGCGGTCTGTTTGTACGATGTCAACACCAACAACAACCGCATGCTCCCAAATACACAACAAAGCGCGAGCACTTGCATAAAACACCACACACACACACCTACCTAAAATAAATGTGCGTGTGAACACAAAGACAAAGATCCCCCGGTATAGCCTGCAACAGACTGTTCGGGCAAGTGCTGTTAGCGAGCACCTATAAAGGCCGGCACGGCACACGAGAAGGTGGGTGGCCAGAAACCACCCCCGGCTGCCTTTGTCTCCCCAGTGGCGATGTTTATACCCAGCACTAGGTACTCATTTGAGGCTGAGTCGACCTAGGGGAGGCCCAGGACCGGTTCAGATAAATCTGCCGTGAGCGTGAATCGAACTCGGGTCACCGGGTTCGTAGCACAGCGCAGCTAACCGCTACATCACCGCTCCCCACACACACAAACACAGCCTGTACCACACACACACACGGCATTACAAATTCTCACCTCGAGTTAGAAAACAAAAGCACCCAGCGACTCTCGCTCTCCTCTCTCTCTCTTGCCGCGTCTCTTGCCGCGTCTCCTGCCTTCCCCGATAGCCGACAGCACGGGAGTCTTATGAAGCTGGTGACTTGCTGCTGCTGCTGCTCCGGGCGACGCACGTTGGGAGGACTTGGTCACTTTATGATTTCAAATTTTTCATCTCTTCACCTCGGCGGCGGTGGCGGCTGCTGTCGCTGCGATGACACCGACCAGGGCGACGGCATCGTTGTGCGCTCTACCTCTGCGGTGGCTCCGAGTCTTTGAGTGCCATATCGATTTACGTTTGATTTGAAACCCTTATTTCTAATAGTAGCGTTGTTGTTGTTGTTATTGTGTCGCCGACGACGTATTCGCTGGGGCGGCTAGAGTGTGTGAGAGAGAGAGGAGAGAGAGGAGAGAGACCTGTGGCTGAGAGGACCACGAAGGGGAAATCTGAGCTGCTGCTGCTGCCGGGCTGCGCGTGATGTCACTTACACGCACGCGCGCGCGCGCACGTACATACAAATACAAAGACCCCCCCCCCCGCCTTCGGGAAAGCCTCAATAGACTGTGAGGTCGAGTGTTGTCAGCGAGCACCTGTTAAGGGCCAGCATGCACACAGGTGCGGTGAGTTGTTGCCACCACGACGCCGGGCCGCCTTTCTCTCCCCAACCCCCACGTTCCCGGGGCTGATGTTTGGACAACCGCAACAGGTACTCGTCTTGAGGTCGTGTTGACCTGGGGGAAGCCCAAGATCGGCTCTCATTTCGCTCGCGCGCACCTCCGATTCGCACGGGTTGGCTCTGTACGGTGCGAAAAAAGTGCAATTTACGTACATGTCAGCCGTGGGCGGGAATCGAACTTGTGTCGCCGGGTTTGTGACCGCAGCGCCACCGCTCCTCGTACCCACAAAGACAAAGGTCCCCCATATAGCCGTTAATAGACGGTTGGGGCAAGTGCTGTTAGCGAGCACCTATGAAGGACGGCACGGCACACGAGGGGGTGGGTGGCCACACATACACATACACGTGCTCGTATTCACACACACACACACACACGTGCGTGACCCGTGTGCGTGAGTGACCCAATACGAAAACATTTTAACCGCGAGGCCCAGCGCTTTCTTGCGTTCCGCCCACGCACGCCTCCTTTCATCACAATGGATGTATGTGCAATGAAGACGCGTTATTGCTCGAAACGTCGCCTATTGATTTTTTTCCCCATTTGACAGCAGTGTTATTGACGTTTTTGTTAATTGTTATTGTGTACCACTACTAACCCAGCAGCATCACCACATAATGCATTTTATCACAATAGCACTCATGTATGCGCATTGTATAATGACTTCATAATCGTCACCTCGTGGCTTGTACAGAATGCTGAGTAGATGTGAATAATTAAAACATATATAGCTTCAAGGTCATTAATGATCATTATCTACCATTGTAAACATATCACAATGCAAAGGATTGCCGGGAACATATATTAATGACTGCATCTATAGAGGAAGCAATGGTTGCTAGGAAACGCTTTTGCAGCTGACCGGATTACGATCATGATCATAAATAGTGAGTAGCTGTGGCAGCAGCTGTTTCGTACGCTACCCTCATCATGGTCACCGCAGCAGAAGAAACAGCAGCAGCAGCAACAACACCGCTGTCATCACATTCCGGCTCCAAACAGGTGGTGTTTATTATTATTATATAACGTATCGTGAGGTTTGGACGTGCCGTGAGTTGATTAAAACTTTGCCTCCTGCCGTCAGTGTGGACAGCGAGTCGCCGTTGCGTGATCGTCAGACGACGGCGCATTAACACTCCGTGGCGGAGTGTTCAGTGGCGAGGGAATCGAGCAGAGGGGTTGGGGAGAGAGTGGTCGCTCAGGTGCGTTTGAGACGGCTGCAGTGAGACGCACATTAACGGAGTCCACATGCAGAAACACGGATAAGCATCTAACTAACGGAGGACACATGCTTGCAGAGAGACTACATTCAGCACCACATGGACAGCGGTCTAGCCAAGGGAAGACTTCAGACTCGGGGTCCACATTCAGGCCCATGGACAACGACCTCACGAAAGGAAGACTTCAGGCTCAGAGTCCACATTCAGCACCATGGTGAAGTATGGTAAATGTACTCCCCATTACTGACACGGCATGAAGAGGCCGTCATCGAGCAGAGGATTGACAAAGGGTTGTAATTATTAATCGACTGTTCGGGTGGGGGGTGCGGCGTTTGTGTCTTTCACAGAGACGCAAACACAATACATCTCTTGGAGTCCAGATGAACTTCAGGAGCAAGAGTGCACACTGACACGAGCACTACACCCGGTGTGGGGCAGTGGTGTGACAGGGACTGCACGCTGGGCCCCTTTAGCCGACGAGAATGGGGCGGCTGAGCCTCGGTGAGAACCGGGGTGGAGGAGGAGGCACCTGGGAGCCCAGTGAGTTTCTCGTGGATAGAAATAGAGGAGAGAGAGGGAGGGAGGGAGAGAGAGAGAGCGACGCCCCCTTCGAAGCAGCACTCCAGACCAGATAATTGCCACAGCGGCCCAAGTGAAACCCTCGCTGACCCATAGACACCTGCAGGCACTTAGGTGGTCGGGGACAGCTACCGAGGGTGCCGGCCCCTCGCTTAATAATACATGGACATGCTGCTTGCGGGGCACAGGTACTGCGCGTGCCATGGGAACGATTAAAGTTGAATCTTTCAGTTACTTGGAGGCACGCAGAGATCAACGATAGCAGTAACTGTGCTTTAGTAAAATAATTTGAATTAGCAATAATTTTGGCTGCCAGAAAATAAGACCGCAGGAGCAGCTGATGAGCAATAAATGTTGGAAGAATTTGCACCGTTAGCCTTACTGGGCCATATCGGCTGGAACCAGGACACGTGGTCCACTTGCTTCTGGAGCGAATAGCTCACTAGTCAAAGTTCACCTGGCGGGCCACCTTCAGAAGCCGTTGTTACGTCATGGGCGTCAATACCGAAGAGAGGCGCGCAATCTATGGCATATCCCGCTCATCTTCTTGGTTCTTTCGGTAAAGTCACGTAGAAAGAAATTAATAAAATAATAAAAATAAAACATAATAAAATAATTCTCACGACGTTTCGGCCACAACGCAAGTAGCCGTCTTCAGGTGAAGACTAGGTGAAGAATAAGTCTGTCAAGGAGACAGAATCTGAGAATGATTTTATTTTGTTTTATTTTTATTATTTTATTAATTTATTTCTACGTGACTTTACTGAAAGAACCAAGAAGATGAATCCCTGCAGTCACGAAAGCTTTAAATCGAAATCTCCCGCTCAGTTAAACTTCAGGGCTGTGTTTTCGACAATATTTATACCGTACAGCTCGAATCAATACAGATTACATTATATCCCACTAGAGGGCAGCATTATTAAGATTTAATGCCTCCGTAAATAATATGACGGTTTTGAACCCAGACCTGCGAACGATTGTATCTAGAGGTTCTGAACGGTGTTGAATCCAAATGTTTATTTTAATAAAAAATACAGTATACATATACAGTATATACAGTATACGTATACTGTATTCAGTGGGTCGGTCAATGTATTTGGAGGAAGGTTTTAGGCTCGGCAGGGCAACCTAGAAGACAATCTTACAGGACAACAATCGAAAGAAACGCCTCCCACAAGCCCTGCCTCATATAACGAGAAGTCCCGCCCATTAATGACAAAGTCCCTCCCAGTAAAAAGGTAGCTCCACCCATTATAGAAAAGATTCACCAAGGGGCCATCCATTTAGTACGTACGCATGGAGGGGGGAGGGGGGGTTAACCAAAATGCGTACGCTTGCGTATGGGGGGGTCTACTAACAATGTACGTACGCATAGTAAACGTTGGGGGGTGAAGCCTCGATAATAATTTGTCTCCACCCACTATAGAGAAGCTCCACCCACTACGAAGAAGCTCCACCCACTACAGATAGCTCCACCCACTAGTCAGAAGCGCCACCCACTATAGTCAGAAGCTCCACCCACTATAGTCAGAAGCTCCACCCACTACGGAGAAGCTCCACCCACTACGAAGAAGCTCCACCCACTACGGATAAGCTCCACCCACTAGAGTCTGAAGCCCCACCCACTACGGAGAAGCTCCACCCACTAGAGTCAGAAGCCCCACCCACTACGGAGAAGCTCCACCCACACCCGTGAAATCCCAACCCAAACGAGGTCTTGCTGCAATGGTATAATAGGAATAACTTATTTAACAGTCTGATTACTATATTTCATTTGTTCAGATATACTGGCCATGCAATTACTGTTAGCGAGAACCTATTAAGGCTTGCATTGGCACATGAGGGGGTGATGTGGCCAGAACCACGCCCGGCTGCCTTTGTCTTCCCAGGATTGATGTTCACTCACCGCACCAACTGCTGTACTAGTTTATGGCTGAGTCGACCTAGGGAAGGCCAAAACCCGGCTCAGATAATCACCACTGATGTTAGCCGTGGCTGGGAATCGAATCACTACGCCACCACTCGCTTGAAGACAAAGACACAGACCCCCCGTATAGCCTTAACAGACTGTTGGGGCAAGTGCTGACTGCGAGCACCTATGAAGGTGAAGCACAGCGCAGGAGTTGGTGGGTGGCCACATCCGCGCCCGGCCCCCTGTGTCTCCCCAGGTGCACACGCGAACTCGTAAGCAAAAACTGCAAAACCAGTGCAGCTTCAAATCCTCCCAGCCTCCTTGCGCTCTCTCTCCCACCCGCGTGTGTCACCGTGTGCCCCACCACCCCACCCCCCATACCCCGCACTCCCTTGCACCGCCCTCGATCCCCATCGCGATAATTTCACCTCGAAATAATTCGGTTTATTTCAGCCATCTGCTCCATCCGGGACACATTGTTAAAAATAACAAAAACTTTTTTGGCGTATCTTTAAATGTAATTAATGACACCCCCGGTAAAACAACTGAAACATTGTGCGTTTTGTTGTTGTTGTTGTTTATTTGACACTTCGTTAAGGTTCTCAAATAGCGACGACAACGAGAGCTCGTGACTACGTGGGGTTACGTGACAGCCACCGACAAATGTACAACACGACAACGGAGAGGAGGAGGGGGTGGGGGGAGTGAACAATTTTAAATCGTAGATTTCGCGGCCTCCCCCAAATCGGTGTCACCACGAGCGAAGCGGTGGGGGCAGCAGTGGGGGGGCATGGGGGAGGTTTTTGGGGGGTTCAGTGACCTTGGAGACACGGCGACACGATGACGCACGGGGTCACCCAACAACACAGCTAGCGCGTGGGAAATTATAGGGTTGTGTTTGTTGTTGTTGTTGTGGTTGTTGTTGTTGGTCTCCAACGACTCGTCAAGGTCAGAGGTGTCCACAAAATCATCCGAGCAAGGACGCGACGCCATTCAACGACAACGAATGTCTCGCGCAAGTTGCCAGCGCCGATTCCTGGCAAGCGCGATCTCACCGAGTGGGACAAAATCCGGAGAGAACTTTGACGGACACACCTGTATCTAAGTGTGTGTCCGTTTGAGGATAGGTCATGATAACAATCTGCTCAACTAAACTCCACTTGCAACACACGCTACGAATGTGCACAACGCGCGTATGGATGCACTTGCAATTGGCTATGGCATTGTCCGGGCAAAAAAAAAACCGCACACAAGTGCGCCGGAAACGCACGCTCAAACACTCGGACGCAGACTTTTTATGGACAAGGACCCCCCCCCCCCCCCCCCCCCCCATATAGCCTTAACAGACTGTTGGGGCAAGTGCTGTCAACGAGTAGCACCTATTAAGGCCGGCACGGCACCCGAGGGGATGGGTGGCCAACACCACGCCCGACCGACCGCCTTTGTCTCCCCAGTGGCGATGTTTCCACAACGCACCAGGCACTCATTTGAGGCTGAGTCGACCTAGGGGAGGTCCGGGACAGGTTCGGATAATCGTCACTGGTGTTGGCCGTGAGCGGAAATCGAACTCGGGTCGCCGAGTTCGTAGTGCAGCGCAGCTAACCGCTACACTACCTCTCCACACACGTGTACACATACAGCAAACACATACACACACATACACACTGCAAGGTCAAGGTCATATCATTTCGAGCCAGCAGTGTTGCTAGATCGGGGAAAATGAAACCTCCAGAGAACAATAAACGGAAACGATCTCACAAATTGAGATGGAATAGCCTCCACCAGATGTTTGGGGAAAAAAACAATAGACTTCTGAGTCCTATTTATTAGAGTAGTTTTTTTTTTTTAATAAAGGTGACCACGAAGCAGATGGATTCATTTAACTTTGCCCGCATTGTGGGGGTGGGGGGGGAGAATTTTAAATGCTCATAATCCCAAAACGGGTTTTAAAAATCCAGTTTTGTTAAAATACCTCCAGACAATTGTAACACGTAAAAACGTTAACATTTCCTTAACGCAATCCTAAAATCCACCGATATCTTGCAGGTAAAACTTATTCGTCGCGTCGAATGATAGAGAATTACAAGCTCTGATTTTGAAACACTCATCTGGGATTTAAAACCTCCGTAAATGACAACACTGGTGTGAGACAGCTACCAGGACGCGTTATTGTGGACACAGTGACACGAGAGACGTAAAAACAGTATTTTTTTTTTTACATGACATCGAAAATGTTGAAAAAGGGGTCGCAACGAATATATAGGCGTGAATAAATAGGCAAAAACCCTGTGTAGGCTGAGAGATGCAGGAATTGCTGCAAGGAGAATTGGTGGAGAACAAGAGCATTGTGGTGTACATCGTGAGAGGCTACAAGGGAGAAACATTATATTTGTAGCGGGGAGGAGGGCAATTTACAGACAGGTCAGCGGTGTTCAAAACAGATCAGCGACGTTACTCTGCAGGCGGTTACCCCACACACGACCTCGGCATGATCCACCGTTCCGTGTCCCAAGTCGCGCTCTGCGTGCTGGCTGGGTCGTCATCTGCGATATCAATTCCATCTCTCTGCAGAGAAATGTACACGCACTGACACCCTACGTTATATTTCACTACCACCGGTGGACTCGGCTTCGATGTAACACTTGCTGACAAAAAACCAGAATCACGGAATCATCTAGTCGACGGGAATCTACTGACAAGAAAGTAAAGCGGTTATTTTAAGCCGGTTTTATACAGTGTGTGCGCAGCAGTAGGCTCGTTACGCGGCGCACCAGCTACCCATACATAATGTGACACCGAGTGGCGGCTATTTGTGTACAAGTCGCGTCTCTCCACAATTTTTACATCGACGGATCCGTCCCCAAAAGGAGCGATGCCATCCGCCGGCTGGCCAAACACGCGTGATCTCGGCTGCTCTTTGCCATAGCGCACAGCGACACTTTCTTCACCGGCATCAAATTTAGGCGGGCTTGCTCAAGAAGTCCAGCGCGGCTCTCCGTCGTGCACGCGGCCGCGTTGTTTCGACGCGCTGTCCCGACGTTTCGCTCCGCGTCCAGCACGAGGGAGGCTTGTCGACACCTTCGGCGGAAGAGGCGCTCTCCGAGCAACTTAAAACGCGCAACGGAAGAGAACACTTTAAATGTGTGCTTGGAAACGCGTCTAGAACAGCGGCTCTTGTGCACCTTTTACTGCACCCTTGCACCCCCTTTGATTCTCCATCGCTAAAACATGTATCACGTCTATAAGTACATCGGGTTTTGATGAAACAACGTAGTTGTGCTCACGTGCCCGTGCTCAATTCGCGTTTCGATGATTTGCCTTCTAAAGAAACCTGGCCACGTCTCGCTCCGCCAGAAAGAGCATCTCGCACCCCCAGGTTAAGAACCACTGTTCTAGAGCGACACGTACATTGCACTTGATGCTCTTTAAAGCGAAGTTCCGACCGATGACGAACAATTGTCTTCGCATTTGAACACAACCGTCGTTATATATTTTTTTGTCTTCTTCAATCTAAATAAACGTCTCCCCTTTATGTACAACTGTCGATTGTGCACTCTCATAACCGTGAGCATTTTGTGACGCGCCACCGCCAGCGCCTCGCCGCGACGCATGAGACGCCGTGCACGCCAAGACGCGCGCGGAACGTCAAAAGTCACCGGGGGGGGGGGGGGGGGGGGAGGCGAGTGTCCGGAGAAGACCCCGCACGTGCGCAACGAAAGGAGAACTCTCAAACTCAACGACACGCTCCACGCTTCTCGCACCTCGTTCGCGCCGAACGCAGGCGATCGCGCGAATCTCGTGGCACGGTTTTTGTTGGGTCCAGTTAAGCGTTGAGTTTGAGAAAATCCCCAAGACGGAGTGGCTTCATTGCAAACTGCTCGTAACGGAATAGTGTAAACGCATGACACGGTAATAAATTATAACAAATAAAAAAAAAACGTTCATATACGCCAGTGGCGGGTCCCATGGCTCCAGCTCATGCAGTAAGGTCACCTCGGGTTTTGAAATTGCGGGTGACACAAGGCCGTGATGGGCTCATTGAGAGAGTATATAGTCTTGGTGCTTTCGGTAAAGTCACGTAGATAAACAACTAAAATCTAAATTCAAAGCAAAAAACCCACGACGTTTCGATCGCAACACAATCGGGCGTCGTCACCTGATGATGACCGCTTGCGTTTCTATCGACGTGACTTTACCGAAAGAACCAAGAATATAAATTCCTGCAGTCACGAAAGTGTTAAGTCTAAATTCATTGAGAGAGTATTATGGGAAAGTGGAGGCAAGGCTTAATGGCACCAGTGTGGGTGCAGTTGGGCTGTTTCTAGACCCCTTCGCTGGGGAGGCTGTGCGGATTTTCTTGGCTGATAAAAAAAAAACCTGGGGCCTGGAGACACGCCAAGCGATATCGGTATGGGTGGATCGATGTGTGCGCAAGCATTGCATCGTGACAAATTGTGCTGCTTCCTCTTATGACTTCCCCCTCACCCGAATCCCACTTTCACGGAACCTCGGTTTCATTCACAAGAAAAAAAATAACAACAAATATGTCGAGGCAGATTTATGCTTGATCCATACCCCAAATACTGTAGGAAGGTATTTGGACCGCAGTCAGTTTCTAAGTCAGATTCTAAAGTCTACGTGGTTCGATCTCCAGCTCTTGCGGGATTCCGGAATAAAGCCAGGGTCGTGTTCCGAAACTCATTCGTGCTGCGTGCACGTGAGTCCAGTCCTGAGTAACATCTTGATACAGGCTCCCAAAGGTGTGGGTTTTGAATAACCATTAATACGGGATTTGGTCTCGTCACAAGTACTACAGGCGGTTTGAACTGCTACTTGACCGACTGTTGGTATTGTAAACACGGAAACAACATATTTAGGTGTCAGGCCTCATCGAACGAAACAAATCAATAGCTACAAGTGCTTTTTAAAATACAGTGCTGTATTTTACAAGCTTTAAAACAAATACATAGCATCCACTCGTATAGCATTCTGGCTGTGACAAGCAGAAGATTCGACCTCAGCATTTGTAAGGAATTGGCCCCATTTGAAGGTCAGCGATGGGTGCAGGGTTACGGTTAAATCGGCATGAAACCGAGGATACGTCAACATTTTTTGCCATGAAACATGGAACTAATCGTCCAAAAATGATTGGAGAGTCTCAACTAAACACGCGTTTATTTCCGTATGTTTTGTGCGTGTGTTATTCAACCGTGCGGTGTGTTGGTATTCTGAACGCACGCAGATATATACGGGGTGGGCAAAAATTGTGCGACTCACGGTGTGCGAAGTTGTGCTTAATACATCGCCCGATGCCCAGCGGGGGTGGGGGGTGGTTGGAATTTCTAAACAAAACAAACCACGATAGAGTTTTTTTTGGGTTAGATCACGTAAATATATAAATGTGTCGTTAAAACCCGCCACCACCCGACACAGCCAACATCCAACTAGTAAGGGTTGTCACGTAAACAGAACGTGCCAATTCGTCACTAGTACAGCACACCAAAAAAAACCCTCTATCATGGATGATATTGGTCGTGAAAGCCCACGACGTGTTAAACTAAACAAACAGAACCTTCAAAGAGCAAAATGAGTCAACGCAAGGAATGTGTCTCGTTAGATCCCATCCCCGACGCAGGTTGCAGACAAACATCATTCGACGACCGACCGGATGCCGAGGCTGACTACCGACGGGAAAGTCCCGTCCAGAGGTGCCCTGGGGGCCCTGCGTGTCCTGCGCAAGCCGACGTGAAACGACGCTTCACGCCCGCGTAACCGTGGAAGTTCTCAACTTTGGTTCATGGATGTGGGTGCACATGGAGCGTAAACATTTTCCAGGTTGCCGAGCCGAAAAAATGTTGTGCTATGCTTAGTTAAAAAATAATCCGCCCGTGCCGTGTGCATGTATGTTGAACCCATTTTGCACCGCATGTTGCAAAACATGCTAATGGGAGGTGCGACTTACGCTGCAGGTTATTACTTAATCACGATTCCTGTTTGTGCGATCCGGTGTTTTGATTTCTCACGGAGCTCAGTCGTTTTTTGGGTTTCATTTCTATTTGCTTCTTTGCTGTTCTTTCCTTTCCAGTAAATTGTTTTTGCTTTTATCATTCGGGTGACTCGGGTCGCTCTTCCATAATGAGACAATATGCTGGTCTCCGAGAGCCGTCACACGGTTAAGCAAAAATAAACGTGAAACTCCAAAACCTAAGCCGGAGAGACTCGGCTGATATTAAGCCCTGCTGTGCACACGTGGCATCACTGGGTACGGCTGTACAAGAGGTCACATGGGGTTTTGCAGCGGAGAAGAACTAAACAAAGTCTGCATTGAAAGGTGTGCGGAGATTGAATAACAAACGTGTGCTTTATTGGTTGATGAATGTAAAAGTTAATGTGTATCCTTTACTTAACACGTGTTCATATTTCTCTTGTTTTGCAATCTCTAGCATGTCACATGGAATGTCATCGGAAGAGCAGGCTGCACTCACTTCTCTGTCTCCTGCGTTATTTTGCTGTGCTTTAAAACAGTTAAAAATATGCGCTATGATTAGTTACATCAGAATTGCAGTCATCAATGCACCGCACTATGAACCGGGCGGCTTAAGCTCAATCCCCGGGGCACGGATAACATCGGTGGAAAGTTATATTTGTTCTTTTTCCTGGAACCTCCACTTGACTGACTCACCTTTAAATGGATAAATACATCGATCACGGAAACACGGGCGATGTCTCAACTGTCGTACGGACACTGGAAACACGCTGCGATGCTCATTTGCCAATAGAACACAAAAATCGAATCAAATCAAAAATAGAGAGAGAAAAAAAAACCTTTTAACCCACGAAACCTGAAAAAAACAACAAAAAAACCCTCTCCAACCCAAACCACCTTTAGCTGTCGGAGTTGAGAATATCCCCCAGTGCAAAAGACCGGCCATAACGGTTGCCGGGCGCGACCGTGTCCAAATCCGGCGAGAATCCTCCATCCTCCTCGTTTATCCTGCCGGACGGTGGCATCGACGGCTTGCGCGCCGGCGGGGCCGGGCGAGCCGGGCGCGCGGGGCGACCGGGGCGGGGCGGCACGGGCCGGCCGATAGATCCGGCCACCAAAGCCGCCGCCGCCCCGGTCGGGACGGCCAGCGAGGCCGGAGGCGGCGGGGGGGGCGGCGGCGGCGGCGTCAGCGCGGCCAGGGAAGCGGGGGTGTTGGTGTCCGCCTCTCCCTCCCTGCGCACGGTGACGGTGCCGACTCCCTGCTGGCTCTGCGCCTGCCGGTACCCACGGCTGTGCAGGAGGCTGGTGGAGTCGCGCTCCTCGAGGGGCGAGTTCTCTTCCAGGATCTTGCGGCGGCGGAAGGAGACGGAGGCGAGGCTGCTCGGGTCGGGCCGCCGCGCTCGGATCACCTGCACGAGGATCACCAGCGGCACGGGCAGCAGCGCCAGCACGATGAGGATGGAGAGCATCGCCAGCGCCCACGGCGGGTAAGGCAAGTACTCCTCCGTGGCCTGTGTGGGGCGAGAGCGGGGGCCGTGGGGAGCCACGGGGGGGCGGGGAGGGGGGCAGTGGGAGGATGATGCCAAGAAGTGGGAAGAGAGGGGGCAGATAATTTTGATGAGGGCTGGGTAAACAAACAAAAACATATGCACAAGTAACTACAACGAAGGAGTGTTTATCGAGTCCATATAATAATAATAATGCCATTTATTTACACAGAAAGACACACCGAGTTTCGTGACTTTGATCCCAATAATGATGTTTTCAGCATCTGGGAGCCAATTGCATTACCCATTGAACACCCGCACATATGCGGCGGTAACGCACAAAGCACTGCACAGATTACTTCATTAATCCACTGCTGCATTGCCATCTCGAGGCCACCTCGCAGCCCAACCCGGCGGTCTAATGGAATCGGCGACCCGAGTTCAATTCCCAGCCACAGATAATGTACATTTTATCATCGCTGATGAGGCAAGTTCAAGTTCACTTATTAGGTATAGCCCTGTGAGCCATTTGGCTTTTGAATCGGGTGCAACCGCAACAAACAAAAACATGAACAAAAAACATCTTAAAGTGAATATGTGACTAAGTGCAAACAGAAAATCCAAGAAAAGACACCAAAACATTGCAGAAAAAAAACCGTACACCAACGCTGTGTGCAAAAATCCCAGTGGGATGCAAGTCCAACAACAACAACAACCACAAGACAACTTAGATTAAGGCTATCAGTCTAACTCTGTACTACAACAAACAAACATGGCTAAACCAATACATAGAGGTGGCTGAGGATGGTGCGGGCCAGACCAACACCCGCGCCCGCTCCACCATATTTAACAGACGCTCGCCAACAGCTCTTGCCCCAACCGTCTCTCGAGAAGGCCGCGCGGCGGGACCTCGGTGCGTGTCGCACCGTTTCGCGGATCCATGCGTGATACCCAGGCGTCTGCATGCACATCTGGGTCACGCTGGCCACCAGCATGGCGATCATGGCGAGGGGCGAGAAGTAGCGCCACATGTAGTAGTATATGCGCGGAGGAGCGAACCCGATCATGTCCTTGATGTCGTCCATGAACCTGCGCGCCGCTCAGCACAAAACAGATGTTTGGTCTGCTTCCCCAGTTTTGTCGGTGCCACGGCATGAGACGAGAGACCCATGCAGAGTGGTCTCTGTGTGTGTGTGTGTGCGTGTTTGTTATTGTGTGGGGAGCGGTGGTGTAGCGGTTAGCGCGCTGCGCTATGAACCTGGCGACCCGGGTTCGATTCCCGCTCACGGCTAACACCAGTGACGATTATCTGAACCGGTCCTGGGCCTCCCCTAGGTCGACTCAGCCTTAAATGAGTACCTGGTGCGGTGTGTAAACATCGCCACTAGGGAGACAAAGGCGGTCGGGCGTGGTGCTGGCCACCCACCCCCTCGTGTACCGTTCCGGCCTTCATAGGTGCTCGCTACCAGCACTTGCCCCTACAGTCTGTTCAGGCTATACGGGGGATCTTTTGTTTGTTATTGTGTGTACGTGGGAGCGGTGGTGCAGTGGTTAGCACATTGCGCTCCGATTCCCGGCGACCCAAGTTCGATTCGTATGTCGATTGTCTGAACTGGTCCTGGGCCTCCCATAGGTCGATTCAGCCTCAAATGAGTACCTGGTGCAGTGTGTAAACATCGCCACTGGGGAGATAAACGCGATAGGGCGTGGCCCTGGCCACCCACCCCCTCGTGTGCCATACCTGTCAACCCCTTATCAGTGCCCTACCTTGTTACAGACCAATTCAGACCTTATTGGTCACCTAGTGCTCCTTATAAATCTCTACGTTCATTCTACAAAATACTATCACAAGGGAGAAACACAAACAAATAGACAAAAATTATGTTCCAAAACAAAAACCGTTTTACGTATTAATTTTGATAATTGGTGCCAATGATGATACTTATCATGTTACTGTCTGCGATCTTGCATGCTGATGCTGCTGTCTGCTTGATATGTGGATGCACACACTCACGTTGTAAATGTACACCAATAAACACAAAAAAAGCTGTCTCACGACTTTTTTTATTTGGCCGAGTGAATTTTTTTTGCCCGTATTGAAACGGCTGTACACCGTATGGACCTGAAAGCTCAATTTCCCTGTACACGAATACGGGCTATAAACCGTATGGGTTGACAGCTATGTGTGCCGTGCCGGCCTTCATAGATGCTCGCGATACAGCACTTGCCCCAACAGTCTGTCAAGGCTATACGGGGGGATCTTTGTCGCCGCGTGTGCACGCGCGTGTGTGTGCGCGCACGTGTGTGTGCACGCGTGTGTGTGTGCACGCGTGTGTGTGTGTGTGCGCACTTGTCAGTGCCGTATAGCCAGGCCACGGATGTGTTCTCCAGGATGACGACCACAGTGAGGGGCAGCGTGGCCGAGTAGTCGTCAAACATCGTGACGAAGTAGTTCCCCGAGCGCTGAACGAACACCAGCCCCACGAGGAACGACGCTGCACACGTCAGGACTGTGCGGTGGGGGCCGAGGGGTGGGGTGGGTGTGGGGGGCGGCGGGGGGGGGCAGAAGGGTTGGGGTGGTGGGGGTGAGAAAAAGAGACGAGTGGTCTCAAATTAAACTAGCCAAAGATAAAACCAACACGTGCTTCATTTCTAAACTAGTAAACTAAACAATTTTGTTGTTACCAGGTAAGGGCCGCTAGGCTATATGACTCTTTTTCAGAAGCGACCTGTGCCACAAATGATAGCCCAACGAAGTGGCTTATCGTCGTGTGGAAATTTATAGCAGCCAAAACCTCTAAACGTGTGATGTTGATTCTAAATGTGGAGGGAAAAACCGGAGGATCTGGTGAAAAATCCACGCGACCACGAGGAGACAGACATGAAAAATTCTAATACCTAGGGGATCAGGATCAGCTTCGAACCTACGACATCCTGTATACAGGCGAGGTAGTTAACATCTCACCACCATGGCGAGATGTTAGGGATTCTGCTGCCGAATTTGTGTTGGCACGCTACATACATCCCGCCTGATTTTGTCTCCTTGATTAAACACAATAATATTGATCGGATTATAGGAATACTAAACTTAATTTGGAGCTTTCGTGACTGCAGGAATTACTCTTTGGTTCTTTTGGTAAAGTCACGTATAAAGAGAAAATAATAAATTAAAATAAATTACATACTAGCATACGACGGGTCGCACCCAGGGCAGGTGGAATTGGCATCTGCATTCGAGCGTCACGAATTGATTAGCACCGAGATCTGGTTTACGGACATTGTGCTGAACTTCATCACAGAACGCAGTACGGTTTTAGTTTTTTGGTACGGACGTGTGGGCTGACTGAGAATCACACGCGTGTTTGGATCTGCGGGGACAAGGGGGCGGCAACCACCACCCCACTCCCCGCCTGCGCGCGTACGTGTGACGATCTCCTTGCGAATCTTGAAGGTGTCGACAATTGGCGTGACGAGACCCTCCATGGTGCCGAACATGGAGCCGAGGCCCAGACTGAGCAGCATCATGAAGAACATGAGCGACCAGAACGGAGACATGGGGAAGTGTGTTATGGCCTCCGTGAAGGCGATGAACGCCAGGCCCGTCCCCTGCACCGCCTGGCACACCACGCGAACAAGAGACGGACCGATGCACGTTTACCACAGAGCGCCACGCCAAACGAAGGCATGTCATGCCTCCATCACACGATGATGCTGTTATCATTCCATTAGAACCCCTCTTAATGACGGTAATTGGTTCCACGAAACCGGCCGTTAAGTGATTTGGTTAAGTGAGTAGATCTTTCCACTTCAAAGCACATGAGACAATGAATGTACACAATGACCTAACGCTCATGAATAGACGTCGTTGATTGGCTGAGGCCTGGTCAGACCACTTTGGAGCTTGCCGATTGGCCGAAATTGGCGGTCGCGTGCTCGTCGTAAGCCCGTCGTTAACAGGGAAGTGGTCGGTAAGCGAACACACGTGGCCAACCGTGCTAATTCGGAGGGAGGGAAGGACAACAAACTAAACACAAAAGCAGTTCTAAAGAAATGGAAATTACATCGAAGACCCAAAGCCTTCTCGGATGCCCTGTGTGCACGTGCGTGCATCCTTGCGCGAGGTGTGAATGAACGAATGCGTGCGTGCGTGCGTGTGTGCACGTGCCTTGTTGAGTTCGTCCTCCAGCAAGCAGGGCAGGAGCCCCAGGGCAGGGAAGTCGTCCTTGTGTACGATTTTCACCACGTCGTACACGCTCTTGTAGTCGTCCACCGAAGGCTTGCTGAGGTTCACGTAGCTTGGGATGAGCGTGATGCTCACGGAGCCCGAAGCCACGAGCGACATCATGTGGGCCCAGTTTCTGCGGAGAGGTGATGGGGAACGGTCGCGTGAATTCTTAACTCTGGGTAATTGTCACGATGATAAAGAAAAAAAAGCACAAATTCGGACAGAGTTGGGTATACTGCTCTCATTGCTGGAGTGGAGAATTCAGCGTCTACCCCCTTTGGTCACGTGATCCTTCCGTGGCAAACACGGATGAACTAAGGTCGCGCGATGTGAACCCAGGTGGCGCTTGACAAAATTCAACCTCAAGCAGTCAAGACGATTGATGATCCACCACTCACTGATTCAGTCAGTCAGTCGCCTCCTTTTCTCTCTTCTATCACTACCTCCGCCATGGTTACCGCTCCCATGAACGTCACTCATTGATTCCTCCACCCATTTTGAGGACCCAGATTTAACAGACTGACTGACCTTTGACAGACACCGTACGTAGCCAACCGGGCCTGTTTAGCCTCGTCCATAATGTAATCATCGATCACACTGCAAATCACAACACTTCTCTTGCTGATTTCTTTCCATGCACGGATCCACTTTGAAAATTCCCTCCCAGGTTTTTCTAACCTAGCTCAATTCAAGAAACGTACAGTTTTCATTGACTCTCGTCTACTGCACATTCATCAGTGATTCTGTTTGTCGCTGGCCACATGCCATTTTTCAGCCTTTGGGCCTGTGCTCAGAAAACCGTGATCATAAACTCGATTAGAAACTCAGCTAAACTATTTTTTATTTTACCAGGTAAGGCCCAATGACCTATATAGCTTTTTTTCAGAAGCAACCTGGCCACAAATGATGGCTCAACGAAGTAATTTATCACGTGGATATTTATAGCGGCCAAATACTCGAAATGCACGTTGATTGTAAATGTGGAGGGAAAAACCAAAGGACCCCGAGAAAAATCCACGCGACCACGGGGTGAGACATGTAAACTCCAAATTTACAGGCGTGAGGGAAAGGATCGGATCCATAACCTCCTGTATACCAAGCGACGTAGTCAACATCTCGCCACCTTGGCGCCCCTAGAAAAAAAGTTTTGCTGGCTGTCTGGCTGTCTGGCTGTCTGGCCGCATGGCCTGCGCATGGTGGTGACATCACCGCGTAGGTGTGACGACGCCATCCGCATCCGCATCCCACACCTCCCCGCAAAAAACACACCCTGCACCCCGGCCGTATTATCCCGTAGGAAATGCACGGGCAGCGCCAGTTACATATACATATATAAAAAAAACACAATAAAAACAACCCACAAAAAAAACGAAAGCACGACGCGTAAAAAGGAGCGCAAAACTAACGTAAAGGACGGTCAAACAAAAGAGAAGGGAGAGAGCGAGCGCCGCACTCGGTGACGCAGCTCTCGTTCATGACGTTGGCCTTGAAGCCGAGGATGGCGAACACCACGAGGGTGGCGAGCAGCGACGTCAGGAAATTGATGACGGACACGAGCACGGCGTCGAAGTGGCAGTTGTTGTCGCGCTTGTTGTACGACGAGAAGGCGATGACGCCGCCGAAGCCCAGGCCCAGCGCGAAGAACACCTGCGTGGCCGCCTCGCGCCACACCTGCGGCTCAGCCATCATCTCCAGCTGCCGGGAATTAGGGTCGCGATGAGCCCGGGGGTCAAGGGTCAAGAGGTAGGGGTTAGGGCATATTCAATTATGTGTATGCAGGTAATTCAGTTTTGATTTTCCAGCTCAAATGAGCATTTGGGGCGCCACAGTGGCGAGATGTTGACTACCTCGCCTGGTATACAGGAGGTTGTGAGTTCCTATCTCGATTCTGACCCGTGTATATTTGGAGTTTGCGTGTTCTCCCCGTGGTCGCGTGGATTTTTCTCCGGGTCCTCCGTTTTTTCCCTTCGCATTTAGAATCAACCCGCTGTTTACAGTATTTGGCTCCAAATAAAATTTCCACCCAATGATAATCCACTTCGTTGACATCTCCTTTGCGAGAGCCAGGGCCGCTTCTGAAAAAGAGCTGCATAGCTCAGTGGGCATTACCTGGTAAAATAAAACATATTTTTAATTCAAACATTTTTATTCAGGCGTTGCTCACCTCGTGTTTTACAGCCCTGAACAGTGGTGGAAAGTCCACATTCCTTTGACGGCTGCATGTCTCTGCCGAGGACCACGACTGCCGACTTCCTCACGAAGTGCTACTTGATAATTGGTTTTTTACCCTTCTATCTGGCAACAAAACTGACACCTTTTTTACGAGGAGTCATGTTTGCATAGACCACAATACCTGCAGTCATAATGCAAACAAAAAACATAACTCTGATAATGTGCACTGTCCTTAAAGTTGATTGGTCCACACCCGAGACAGCTTTCCTTAGAGCCTAGTCTCACATGGGTTGGACCAGATGACGCCAAAAGGCGCACAACTCAAAGACAATGCACCATCAGAGTATGAGAGCTCGGGGTAAGCATTTACACCATTGGAACCTCATTTGCCAGTAAAACTATATTTTTTTTACTGGCAAATGAGGTTCCAATGGTGGAAGTGCTACTTATTCTGTCGGCTCGTACATTGGGTTGACTCCCGAGTTAATCCCGCACAAGTGATCAGAATAAATACATTTGTATACATCATACGAGTATGACTCCCGAACAGTAATAATTTTACCAAGCAGAAAGCTTGGTAAAAAAAAGAAGCAATGCTCAGTAAAAACTACCTCAACTCCCCTATATGTAATTTCACATGTATTATTATTACCTGGGTTTACCCAGGCAAGCCCGACTGAGTCTCACGACTTTTTCCTGCTGCTGTGTGTAATCCCAAGTACGTAATTAACACGAAATTCATATTCATTGGGTCTATCGGTAAAGCCACGAAGATAGAAAAATAAAAAAAATAAAAAAATCTTTTTTTATTATTCTATCTACGTGGCTTTACCAAAAGACCCAAAGAATATGAATTCCTGCAGTCACGAAAGCTTTCAGTCAAGATCTACACGTAATTATTTTGCATTGGGATGTTTGGCCAATACAAGTTACATTTGTATCGTTTTCTTTTAGCTGTGGGAAGAAAGCGGGGAACTCAGAGGGAACCCATGCAGAGCAGAGGGAGAGAACACACACAAACGTCGCGCGAACAGGCGCCCAACCCGGGAATCGAACCCAGGCGCTGCTTGCTGTGAGTCCACAATTGTTACCACTGTGCCACCCTGCCATTGAAACAGACGTAGGTGAACGTATTTATATTAACAGGTATAGGTGAATAATAGCTTAACCAGACTTCACAATGCCCCCCCCCCCTCCCCTAGTCAAGCCTTTGCAGTGCCCTGCCTGCCCCGAGCTCTCCTTCAATACCCGTGCTCTGCGCCATGTGCACTGTGCATGTTCATTGGGGCACCAGTCCCGTAATTGCTTGCGTACAGGCTGTGTGCAGAACACAATGGTGACCACAATTCAGGTCTATATAGTGTCTAAAGACAACTGAAAAACAGAGTGGCATGTGCATGATGTCTACTTCAATATATATCGTGCATATGTTTTCTAGATAAGAGATGGTGGCTTTTTATACACTTGCTATAAAACAAAGACAAAGATCCCCCTTAGAGCCTTCACGGACTGTTGGGGCAAGTGCTGTTAGCAAGCACTTGCTATCCACACACACAAACGGGGTACTGGGCATCTCTCTCTCTGTGGAATCTCAATGTACCCTCTTGGTTGTTTATTTATACAATGGTTTCCAAAACGTCCGTGTATATATTCTTAGGTTTTTTCGGTAAAGTCACGTTCGTAAAAAATGTAAAATTAAAATTAATAAAAGTAAAATTAAAATAAAATCCCGACGTTTCGGATTGATACAGCAATCGTGCTGTGACGGTTCCACCTGAAGTCGGAAGCTTGTGTTGCCTCCGAAACGTCGTGATTTTTATTTTATTTTTATTTTACTTTTATTAATTTTCATTTAAATTTTTTTACCTACGTGACTTTACCGAAAAAACCTAAGAATATGAATCCTTGCAGTCACGAAAGCTTCAAATCTAGAATGAATGTCCGTGTATATGTTTTATAACGGTCTTGATTTGCGAGAGCTGGGATGACTGCTTCAGTTTCCATTTAATCGAATGCCATTTCATCATCAGTAAAAGCCTGTCCCTCGCTGTAATGCCGATCTGATTGACGGTACTTGATACACATTTGTCATTGCCTGGGCTCTGATTGATAGTGTGCATGCGGAGTCAATGCGGGAAAAATTATATTTCCTGAATCCATCTCGCTGGCTTGGTTGGCCCCGAGTCCAGCTGCTTAAGATTACACGCGGCCAATTTATATACGCGTGTGATCACGGCTAAAGGGTGTGTAATCCTTCTTCAAAGCAGTTCTATGTTCATTTGCACACTGGGGAATGATTGGGGAATCGTTCCGCAAGCATTTCTGTGCAAACATTAATGTGAAGACAGGTCAGCTAAATTTGTACCAACAGCCAGTCATGCATTCTACGGTGATTGTGCACTCTTATTTCACTTGGGCCGAGATTTTTTCACTTTTTATTTTCCCACGTAGGAGGGAAAACTGCGAAATGTTTGCGTCCGCGGGAATATAATTTTACAATCGAAATAATAATGATATACAGCCCTGTGCCAAAAGTGGGCACTGCCGAATATTGCATCTTGTTGAACTGTCAACAGAATTGGGAGGAATGCACGGTGATATAGCGAGACCCAGCGACGTGACAAATCGAGCAAACTCCATCACCTGACAGGCGACGCGGAAAAATGATGACAAGCAGTGAATGAATGGGTGGAGATTCTTATTCTTCACAGGAAATCATGTTTTTTTAAAGAATTAAAACATACTTCAAAGAGTTCCTCTACTAACACTGAAGCTCTCGCATCACGACAAGTTAAAGGCAATTAGAAAATGCACGCTCATCACAAGCTGTGAAGATGAAGGAGTGTGCTCTATGAAAACGGAGCGCACTTGCCCATCGGAGTCAGAATCCGAATCTTTATTTGACCATCACAGTTGGAGACTTCAGCGCCATGGCAGGTGAGAGATGGATCGACGATTTGTTCATTTGTGACGGGAGGACAAATGGAGTGAGACCAGACGCTATGATTTGCAGCTCATCCGGGTGATGGAAGTGCTCCTGAGAAGGGGATCAACGGCCCTGAGCTGTATCCCGAAATGCATGTGGCATTAGCTGCTACCTTTGCAAATTCACCAACACTAGCAAGGCTGGCAACAAGTTGTTAACTACTCCCGGGAGCTGCCTTCATTTGATATAAACTGTGCACGCATACACGGGGCCTATGTTTTTGTCTCACTCAATACTTCCAGAAATGTGTGATGTCACGTGTCACGTGATCGCACGTCACAGACATTTGTGCGTCCTTATTAAGAGGCAGTTTATCTCAATGGGCAAAGGAAATTAAACGTAAGTGCTGCCCCTGAGGATGTCGTGCTATCCCTAGGCACCCTCCACTGTTCACGTGTGTGTAAACAGTGGCGAGGACAACGCAGGGTGAGTTGGACAATGGCGCGTGTCAAAATCACTCCCAGAAAACGGTGACCCGGACTGTTCTGGACTGAACCGGAGCAATCCGTGTCATGTCTGATTGGCCTCTGGTGTAGGCCAATACGTTTCAAAGAAATTCTAGATTTGAAGCTTTCGTGACTGCAAGGATTTATACGCTTAGGTTTTTTCAGTAAAGTCACGTAGGTAAAAATAAATAATAAAATAAAAATAATAGAAATAATAATAGAAATTAAATTATTATTATTTGCCATGTATTATCAGCGCATGTTTGTTTGCATGTTCACCGCAAGTACGTGTGCTTAACGCAGACATGATTCCTTCCAAAAGGTGTCTATCTGGTGTTTAAACATCTTAACACCTGTTTTATTGCCAGAAAGGGTAAACACATATTCTGATCTTTCACACTTTGATCCTGGCAAAAAAACGGGCCCCACGATAATGTCGTCGTCACCTTGGGCATGAACATGTGGCGGATGCCGTCCATTGCCCCATCGAGTAAAAGTCCGCGCACCAGGAAGCAGAAGAGGACCAGGTACGGGAAGAGGGAGCTGAAGTACATGACCTGGCCGCGGCACACAGAGGGAACTCGCATGAGTGGCAGAGCAGCGTCGTCGACGCGAGGCGTTAGTGACGGCAAACGCTTTCCCTGTGTACGTTGAACCCCTTTCGCACCGCGCATAGCCAACCGTGCTAATCGGAGATGTGGAGGGGAGGGGGAGGACAACAAAACTAAACACAAAAAGAGCAGTTCGAATTAACAGCATTGTCACGTGTTGGTACGGTGCATAAGTAGCGAAGCAAGGGGCAGCGTTGCCAAGTTAAGCGGTTTTTGTTACGCGTTCTAGCAACTTGTTGGGTTTCCCACATGGTCATATTTTGCCAAAGCAACGAGCGACAAATCTAACGACTTTCTAGGACAAGGGCGTCATGCAGATTCAGGAGAGATTCAAGCAATCGGTTTCCTTGCCGACACTTGCGGTTGTACGGTAAACGGATAACTTAAAGAAACGGTAAATACAGACGACGCATTCCGCATCTATGACCCACATTCGACAGCTTTTGCTTCCTCGGGCACAATTCCACCAATACACTGGCCAGGTAAGAATAACGACATCTTTGTGAACGTGACAATCTTGTCATGTGGTGGAGGGATAAAGCCATACATTTTGCTACAGACCATGACCATGTGTTCTGGTCCAAAAACAAATATGTATGTTGAATTGGCTCTGAAATTTTTTTGTTTAACGCGTACACTTTAGCGACCAATATTATCCATAATTGAGGTTTATTGGATTAGATCGCGTAAATATAAATGTGTCGTTAAGCCCACCACCACCCGACACATCCAATTAGTAAGGTTTGTCACCTAAACAAAACGTGGCAATTCGTTACTAGTACGGCACACCGGTTGTGTGTTGGAGTAGTAAACCTACAACATTTACAATTCTAGTACCATATTGTTGTTTCTTTCGGTAAAGTCACGTAGAAGGGAAACAATAAAATAATATTGTTTAATATTTGTATTATTTTATTATTTCCCTTGTACGTGACTTTACCGAAAAACCAAGAATATGAATCCCTGCAGTCACGAAAGCTTTAAATCAAAATTCTAGTATTGTGACAGTTCGCCAGTAATGACAACAACCAGCATCATCAGGCGACAGCCAACAACTACTATTGTGGCTTTGTTTTTGTTACAAGAGCCCCACAGAAATGTTGCAGACCAAAGCCCAAACTCAGTGCCCCTGGGTTCTGGGAAGGGGAGAAGGTTGGGCTCACACTGCCCCACTCACGTAGGGGACTGCGAGTAGTGGGACCGTAGGTTTGTTTGTTTTGTACACGGGGGAAGAGAAGGCCAGGGAAGAGGAACAAAAGTACAGGGATAAAGATGTGGGGGAAGGAGGGGGAACCTACGTTTTCCGTCGGCTTTTCTTCCTACCTTCCCCGAAGACTGGATTCCGCGTATCATGGCCAGCGCCACGATGAGCCACGCCGCAAAGAGGCAGAGCGTCATGCGCCAGTTGAGGCCCCCGCCGTGCGAGATGCTGTCGGAGATGTCGAGCGCCTGGCGGTACCAGTAGTAGGTGGTGGCCGAGCTGCGCTTGCACTCGGGCTCCATTTCTGCGTGGTGGACAATGCCAATTGCGGCGTGCGCGTGTGGTGGACAATGCGAATGTGATGTGCGTGTACGGTGAAAAATGTGGATGCGCGTGTGTGGTGGACAATGCGAATTGCGGCGTGCGCGTGTGGTGGACAATGCGAATTGGTGTGCGCGTACGGTGAAAAATGTGAATGTGCGCGTGTGTGGTGGACAATGCGAATTGCGGCGTGCGCGTGTGGTGGACAATGCGAATTGGTGTGCGTGTACGGTGAAAAATGTGGATGCGCGTGTGTGTGGTGGACAATGCGAATTGCGGCGTGCACGTGTGGTGGACAATGCGAATGTGATATGCGTGTACAGTGAAAAATGTGGATGCGCGTGTGTGTGGTGGACAATGCGAATTGCGGCGTGCGCGTGTGGTGGACAATGCGAATTGTGGCGTGCGCGTGTGGTGGACAATGCGAATGTGATGTTCATGTACGATGAAAAATGTGAATGTGCGCGTGTGTGGTGGACAATGCGAATTGCGGTCGTGCGTGTGCGAAAGTGCGGAGAGCGGTGGCGCAGCGGTTAGCGCGCTGCACTACAAACCTGGCGCCTCGAGTTTGAGTGAACTTGCCCCGACAGTCTGTTAAGGCCATACGTGGGATCTAACGGTTAGCGCGCTGCGCTACGAACCCGGTGACCTCAGTTCGATTCCCGGCTGCAGTGTGAATATCTGAACGAATCCGGGGCCTCTCCTGTAACGACTCAGCCTTAAAATGAATGCACAATGCAAATGTGTAAACGTGAGTAATGGTGAGACAAATGCAGCTTGGTGCTGGACGCACCCTGACGCAACCCAGAAATTTGCGGTGGCCTCCGAACGCGAACAAAGAAAAACTGTCATGGGCGCCCCCGATGTGATGCGGGCACATAGGGGCACGTGGCCTCATGGGCGTGAGGGCCGGAGAGGGAGAGAGAGCACAGTGCAGCACCGGTGATGTTGCCGTGGTGGAGCACGGGGCAGTTGGCCCAGGGCAGCGGGTACTGAAACGAGTGGAAGAAGTAGTAGAGAGCCCAGCTGATGATCACGTTGTAGTAGAGGGCCACGAAGTAGCACACCTGCCACGGGGGGCGGGGGGGGGGGTCCACGCGCAGACAAGGCAGGGACACGTAAACGAGTGTTGCGTTATTAACACACGTGGCAGCGGTGGCTTTCGCGGCCAGACAACAACGAGCTCGTTGTTCTGCGTAACAATGACGCTCACAGGCGAGCGCACCTTGCGTGTCCACACGCCCGCTGGTCGTGTAGACACCTCCTGGGGTAACCCAGAAATGCGTGGTGGTGGTGGTGATAGCCTCGTTGTCGTCGTCGGACTCGAATTTGTAAATGACGCGGGTTTACGCTCCAGCACACAACCGGCGTGCTGAAGTCGTACAAACCAATTAGCACGTTTTGTCTACGTGGCGGAACCTCACTGATTGGCCGTGACCGGCTGGTAGTGGGGTTAATGACACATTTATATTTTACGCGTTATTATGAACACGTAGGAGCCCGCGCGCTAAGCTGTGTGCGCTGGCTCCTGTTCACACGACAACAGCGAGGGATACAAACCCCATTCACCGCCAGCATGGGGGAGTGAGGGGGATGTGAATGAATGGATTGATAGATGGATGAAATTCTCACTTGTAAACTTTCAACCGCCACCAGAAAACATTTAAAAAATCAAACGCCTTTCACGTGAATTACGAGAAACGGGAAAATTGGGTGCAGGCTGGGAAACCAATACAAACAAATCAGAAAACAGTCGTGCCTTCCTGCTGTTTTGTGTTGTGATTTCTTGCCACCAGATTCCAGCGGACACTGTGGATTTGAACCAAGTCCGAGGGCCGGGAGTCCAATCCCACTGTGGCACAACGGCGGGCACTTCTTGCAGCAAACCAGACAGGTCATTGGGTCAGTGGGAGAGGCCAGCTCCAAAGGTGATCCTAGCGTGCTCAAGAGGCAAGGTAATTGGAGCTGCAGGTAATAGGGTCACGCATCAAGTGGTGCTCACCTACACACAGCTACATTGTGCATATTCTACGAATGTGCACGCAACGGTATTTGAGCCAGTTTTTACACACCAAGTTCAGCTTTGCTATAACTGTGCTGTTGACCGAACTGCGCGTTGGGATCTACGGACGAAATGCACCTTACAGATGTAACATGTTATTCCTGCACCGTCCTTGGTGAAGGGGCTGTCACACGCTGGGTGACGCAAGCATGGGAAGATGCCACCGCGAGCAGTATCTCTACCCAAAACACAAGTGAATAGAGTACAAACAGATACTTGAAATCGCATAATGATGCTTATCTGAAATGTATGTTTGTTAAACTTTGTTTCGCACCGTACGGAGCCAACCCTGCTGATCCGACGTGCGAAGTGTAAATGTAATTGCATTTACTCATTTATAAGATGTATTAATACAATAAACTATCATGCTGTGCCCTTCAAAGTCATTCGGGTGGTTAAGAGGCGTGGTGGAGTGGGATGTAGCGGAGGGAGATGGCTGTAATCAACACTTCAAAATAACCAAATCTGCGGATCGGATTTTAGCTCGAAGCGTTTCCACCGAGTCGGAGACATGGGCCCATTGAGGGGGGTTAAGGTGAACTTTAAGAAGATATTGGTAACATGACAACTTAAATTGGCAACAATAAGGTTCACACTCAAATGCATAATCATTGTTGTCATGATCATTGTTGTAATTAGGTCATTGCGTGGTGCTAAACGCGACTACAAACTCATTGACGAGTAGTTAAGAAAAACAGTATCGGCAGAATTGTCGTTGGCATCAGCAGAAAATGAGAATGCGGAGGTACCGGGGGGACATTGAGTCTCTTTTGCCCTGTCGACTTACAAAATTGGCACACACCAAAAAAAATGCAGTTGTGTGGATGTGAACGTTTATTTCGCACACAACGCAATGTGCACGGACGACGTGGCAGGTCAACGAAATGCGCTGCGCGAAACAGCAGCCGGTCAGCAAATTTGCACCCAGCGGTGCGCCGCTGTTACCTTGCATTTTTACTTTTAAAAGTGCGCTCTCGCGCAACTGAGAATGTTTTGCCGCCGGGACTAAACCGGGGGCTTTCTGGCTAGCCAGCGGACAAAGCTGGGCCAACCGGCGTCGGCCGCTTTCAGATGGGCTCTCCTTGTCTTGACGGCATTTATACAGCGCCTTAACCAAGAATTGACGACGGCACAAACAACGTGTCGACGTGACGGCGGAGATGTAGCGAATTAAATGGATGAAAGGATGCAATGGGTGGCGAATCTGTAATGCGTGAATTCGGTGAAAGAGGAAGTGATGACAGTAAATAATGATGATGAACGGATTGAATGAATGGGGTTAATGAGTGCTAGCCATGCAATGAGAATACGAAGAGGGAACAGTAGTGGTGGTGGTTATGAAGGTGAGATTAAGGGGTCTGCGGCCGTCTGGAACGCTCTTCCTTCTGATATTAGGAAGCCACTGGAGCTCTGCACTTTTAAATCATCATCTAGATTTAAAACTAATTTCTTTAGGACTGCTTTCTGTGTTCAGTTTGTTGTCCTTCCCCCCTGCGCCTCCGTTTAGCGCGGTTGGCTACGAATGGCGCGATAGAAGTTCAACGTACATCAAAACGAAAATCACTCGACACAACGCTTTTGCAGAACGAAATAAAAAATACAGAATGCACAGGTGCAACTCTTAGTACACAGCAGAATTCATGTGTAGAAATATATATAGACTCAGGGCACCGAACGCAGATCACATCCAACCACAGAGGCGTATACACCTCGAACCACAAGCAGGCCATTGACTCAGATCTGTCAGGAAGATTTTTTTTGCGCAATAAAGTGTTGAAAACTACCGTTTGTATTTTTCGTGTGAAAGACTGATATGAAGGAAACAAATCATTTGGTGATGCCACCGCTGCATTGGCAGTGGTGCACAAGGACAATTGACAACCAAACTTAACACAATCGCCAATAGCACTGCCGACAAAATACACACGCATATAATATGCACATATATAATAGGTGACGTTATTGGCAATGGTCCTTCTCCTGCTATGAAGAAGGGTCATTACCAGTAACATAACATGTGCTCGGAAGAAGGCCCATCGCTCGAGACATCACCCATGATATATTTAATCTTTTACGGCCAAAGCGTAATTGATGAATGAGTTTTAATGCTTCAATATTCGTGAAAGTTCACCAGTCGAGGTAGGGTGACAGCCACAGTTTGTGTCGAGGGGCAGGTAGCACGCCCGTACCTGTAGGCACGTCCAATTAGACCGTGTCCAACCAATGAATAAAATATGTGAACAAGAGAAAAGATGAAGCAGTGACGGAGGTGGATTGACGATGATTGATGACGATCATTTGCCAGAATGAAGAACGTGATTTCATGATGGAACATATAAGCCCGTCTGGCCACGTTTGCTTCTGAACGACCAATGCACCTCCTCCTCCTCCTGCTGCGACAGGCATCGCTTCCTTGGTGTGCACCTCTTTTCAAGAGTCAGAGGCTCTGTTTCAGCTTGCTTCTGTGAGTTCAACTGCAGCTCTCTGACCCATACAGCTACACCAAGCGTCACTCCTGTCTCAGACGTATGAGACGAAACAGCCGCGGCGTCGCCAACGATCGCAGGGCCGCACCGCTCTCCAGAGGTCGCAAACGGGTTTTGATTCCTTACCCGTACCGTACCCGGCCGCACCAGGGACGCAAATGGGTACCCGTACCCGTACCCAGCCGGGTACGGGTACTCGTTCCCTACCCGTACCTGTACCCTACCCGAAATGAGTGACAAACGGTGACTCACCAGTGACTCACGGCCTACCCGTACCCGTACCCGGCCGCACCAGGGTCGCAAATGGGTACCCGTACCCGTACCCGGCCAGGTACGAGTAGCTGTTCCCTACCCGTACCCGTACCCTACCCGAAATGAGTGACAAACGGTGACTCACCAGTGACTCACGGCCTACCCGTACCCATACCCGGCCGCACCAGGGTCGCAAACGGGTACCCGTACCCGGCCGGGTAGCCGGGTATCGGGTAGGGTACGGGTATTGGGAACCCGATTGCTACCTCTGCCGCTCCCCTTTAATGAAAAGCCCGTGAATGTGGCGCACGCACCATGCAGCTGGCAAATCCGATTCCGCCGAGCTTGGAGTTGATGTAGCTCCACACCCCCACGCTGCCGCGGCGGATCAACTGCCCGGCGGCCAGCTCGAGGAAGAAGAGCGGAATGCCCAACACGAACAGCAGGATCACGTACGGGACCAGGTACGCGCCTGTCGCGGGGAGAGGGAGCGGTGGAGGTGTCGGGAGTGGGGTCCGGGAAAGGTGTGCGAGCGTTAGGTGCGGAGGTTAGAGACAACAGGGGTGAGCTGCTATCATGAGCATTGTTTCGGCAACAACAACAACAAGTCAGAGTGCGTTCCGTGCTCACCTCCTGTTTGATAACCCTGAGCCAGTGCTGGAACGCGCTCATTCCTCGAGCAAGGGCGAGTCTGTCCACAGGGCTACGACTGTTGACTGGTGGAAGGGTCTCTACTTGAGGGAGCTCTTGAGAGCCCCTCTAGAGGACATTTGGCCTACTCTTCCACGCAGGCCAGACGCCTTGGAAGAGGTGGAATTATCTCGCCCATTATAATCAAGTTAAATGTGTGAATGACAAAAATAAATATTTCCAAAAGTATGGATAAACTCTTAAAATTCTGCCGTGTTTTTTTTTTATAGCACTTGGTTGAAGGTAAAAATATGCGGACTTAACAATAACAAAATTTTGACTAATTTATTCAGAGAAGCAATACCGCAGGCAGGATATGTATTCAGAAGACAGATACAAGATTCAGATTCAAGATAGATAGGAGACATTCAGAAGAAATACACCACATGCGCTAGGAATAGGAGATATACTCAGAAGAAATATAGAAGAGAGATAGGAGAACGTTGTAATCTGAGAGGCATAAGCGAGAGGAGGGAGAAGTACAACAATAAAAGTGTGTGGATCGAGTCCTTAATCCATGCAGTGCTGCATGTACTTCACTCCCCGGCACACATTCCCTCTCCCCCCCCTGGTCATTACAGGGCCTGTATCCTGGCCGTCATCTTTATTTCACACAAGGCATGTGATTTAATCAGGTTTATTTTGGTTTAATAACTTCATTTGAAATCCACGGTGGCCTGTTGTTTTTTTTTTTAAGTGAGCGATGCCACGGGATGGATTAGATGGAGATCACCGGCTGCATTGAGCCTGCGGAGCGAGCGAGGGTTGGACCGCCTTGTCCTGGTGCTGCCGTTGCTAGACGTGATGACCTCACGTTCCAGTGACTCAAGAAGTCCCAGCAGAGGCATCTCGCACATTGTGATATGACTCACGATTTAGCTGGTAATAATAATACAAAATTACAGTGTGTGTGCTGCGATAGTGAAATTTTGTATGACCGCAGACAACTACTCTGTGTACGCGCATTTTGCTCGTGTGATTAAGTGAATTGAATGCCCATTGGGGTCAATGTATACCAAATGGAGTGGGATTGGGTGGATTTTCAACTGGCGTTTCTTTTTTTACTCAGTGAAGCCGTGAACCCTGATTAAGAACGTACTGTGGTTGCAGCTCTGCTATGCCCCGTCACGTCCGTCACATCACTGGACTTAGTTTGTGTTCGCATAATTATTAGCATCATCGGGAGCAGGGGCAGCATTCATATCTCTCCACCGCTGTATGACGGGCTCTCCAAAACCTGGCCAAACCTCATGGTCCCGTGATGCCCCAATCCATCTCATTCCTGCTAACCCGTGCGCCGCCACTTCCCCACGCTTAAAGTATCAGTGATCAACCAACAAATCAATGTGGCATGTGACGTCATCTGCGTGGGAATAAAAAGGCTTGACCTTTTAATATTAATTTAGCACCCAATCATGGACCAATCCTCTGCCAATGTGCCCGGTTGTAAATAGGTTAAATCCGATGAAGAAACACAACTTGATGAAGAACATATCGTCCATAATGGAGCACTTTTTCGAAAGTTGTCGTGACTTCCCCGTTACAGACAGACGGACGCATGCACTCACGCACGGACAGACAGACAGACAGATGGACGGACAGAGAGACAGACAGACGGACAGACAGACGGACGGACGGACGGACGGACAGACGGACAGACAGACGGACGGACAGAGCCAACCCATCAACGCCACTTTTCGGCCACAGGCTTTGGAAGGCTCTTTGAAAAAGTGACGCACGTACCTCCCCCGTTCTTTTGGCAGAGGTAGGGGAACCTCCACACGTTTCCGAGCCCGACGGAGAAGCCCACCTGGGCCAGGATGTACTGCAGCTTGCTGCCCCATGCGGGCCGCTCATCCTCGTCGTCGTCCGCGTAGTCGGCGGCCGCGGCGGCCGCGGCGGCCGCGGCGGTTCCAGCCGCCGCCCCTTTGCCGAGGGGGCGGCCCTCCGCGATCGACGGGCTCTTAACGTCGGGCCGCTCGGCATGTCCGAGCAGGTCGGTCACCGACTCGGTAACGTCCGCATCCCTGAGGACCACCTTGCTGTTTTTCCGCATGGGTGCCGCACGCTCGCCCACCACTCTGCAGCAGCGTTGTTTTTCCCCTCTGGGATTTCAATCGCCCGGAGTGTCAACAGCGCCAAGGTTGACGAGCCCGAGGTGTGTGCCAAGTTGAGATCCCAGAGTCGACAGTGCAGGAAGGTGAGAGGTTGCAGCACGTTTAGAGCCGGATGACAAGTTCGCCGCTCGTGATCCCGGAGTTGGGATCCTTCGGAGCGAATCCCAATGTTGACAGCAGGAACCTGAGACGAGCGAGCTGAGAGCCCAGGATCGAAGGCCAGCAGATGCGTCCTCAAGGCTGAGAGTCCAGAGCTCAGTTGAAGCGAATGGTCCGGAGTTCACAGCGATTGACCTGAACAGCAGCCTCGGGTCCTTGTCAGGCTTCAGCGGAGACCTCCACAATGTCTTGGCTGCGGCTGTGTTGAGACGAGACATTAAAATCAAGGTTAAAATAATAATCGTCCATTGTAGTCATATTAAGGTCAGGCTTTTGCTTTGAGATGTGGTATCAAGAATGCATTTTGATGTTTTGGGTTTGGATGTGCACATCAATACTTTCATAATGCATTGATTCACTTAGTAAATTACTACTTAAACTGGACATGGGATATATCCAGATCAATATGGATCCAGGGCTTCGGCAGGATTTTCCAAATCCGAATCTAAAGCCCTGAAAGCACCAGATATGAGTGGATCACGGGGCATACACTCCGTGCGCACAGTGAGGTGAAATAAATAAATATTCCATCTATTGGAGAGAACACATCGTTCTGTCATAATATATTTCTACTTGAAAAAGAACAAAGCAACATTCGTTTCTCAAAACACTTTACAATGATAGATTACAACTCATAAATGTATTTGTTTAAAAAAAATATATGAAGCTCTTTGTCAACACACTGCTGGATGACGGTGTCCCGTTGCCAGTTATCGGGTTGTCTGGCCATACTTCATCACGCTGGCAATGTGTGTTGGTGTAGGGCAGGGGTGGGGAACGTCCGGCCCGTGGGCCGTATCAGGTCCGCGAAATCATTTGGTCTGGCCCTGCCAAGGCAACCGCAGGCGGGACTCAAAATTCAATCAATCTAGGAGCAAACCTGGAAAAGCAGTTGCGAGTAGCAACATCATCAACACCAGCTAACATCACGCGCCTCACCCAAAGAGAAGCAGTTCCAGCCATCACATTAGGGGTGAGTTAATTAAATGTTTGACCAAATATAACAGGCAGATTTTAAAGTTAAATAATTTTCTATGGCCCGCGAATGATGTTATAAATATCCAAATGGCCCTTGGCAGAAAAAAAAATTCCCCACCCCTGGTGTCGGGGGAAGCCACTGACTGCTCACTTCAGTCATGGCCATGGATTTAACTCACGCCGTTGCATTTGTAGCGCAGTGATCTAACCACCACGCCACTACCGTCCCCCACACACGTTGCTGAAATACCACAGCATACTGCACAAAAACCACGGAGCGCGAGTTGACATTTGATTGGTTAAAACACGACGTAGTTCTTTGTACGAAAAAGCTCCGTTTCAATTCACGCGGCATTTTGTCAATTTGAGCAGTGTCAGAGTGACCTGCATTCAGAGCCAGTGCCTCCGGCTCCAGCATTATACTTTTAACCGGCAGATGGTGGTAATCACAAAGATATACAACCGTGCCTTGGCTAACTAAATAAAATAATAATTCTCAGCCCTCTGTCAACCCTCTGAAGAATGAAGGCCTCGCCATGCCGTGCCAGTCTAAGGACAGCGTTATTTGAAAGTGAACATGCGTGATATGTAACATTCAAATAACCATGCGTGTACAATCAAGCCATAAAATAAAATGTAGTTACTGAAATCGTTTTTTCGTTGCAATTAAATTATAATGAGGCAAAACGTAAAGGTCCTGCAACTGCTCGGTCACACCACTACTAGTGGAAGGATCTCGACTCGAGGGAGCTATTGAGAGCCCCTCTAGACGAGATTTGGCCTACTCTTCCACGCAGGCCAGACGTCTTGGAAGAGGTGGAATTATCTCACGCATTATAATCAAGTTAAATGTATGAATTACAAAAATAAGTATTTCCAAAAGTATGGTTAAACTCTGCCACGTGGCCACCAGAGCTCTTAAAAGTCTGCCGTGGTTTTTATTTTATAGCACGTGGCTGAAGGTAAAAATACGCGGACTCAACAATAAAAACAATTGTGACTAATTTGTGGCTGTTATCTTAGACATCGACAACCAGTGGTGGTGGAAGCGTACATTGGCCGCGGCATGGCAGCCTCTTGAGCCAAAGCCTCCTGGCCATCTGTGAAAAAGATCTTCATAGCTCATCCGATTCGTCCAGTCCAAATAAAGATTCTGATCATGACAGAATGTACGGTCCTTGCCTATAAACGTCTCGCAGTTCGACAGCACCGCATCAACACGCAAGCCTGCACGCCTCTGCTGCCGTGATACTGAATGTCTAACCCCGGTTCCGCGTGTACTATTTGTACTATTTAAACCGATAATGCTGCCGTAACAAACAAAACAAATTGCTCAGAGAAAGGTCCTAACGCCTGGTGGCGCGTGTATAAACATACATTTCAATTATTATTTATTCACGCGGACGGACGGACGTCGGAAAGATGCGTCATAAAAATCCGCGTGTTTATTTTTAGTTTTTTTTGCTCAACACCCACGGGCAGCGAGCAGTCAGCACCGAGGACAGCGCAAAAACAAATCGTGACGTCCACGAGGCACGAGGCAGCTTCTGACGTCCGATGGGCGCCGCCCTCCTCGAACTCATAAATAATTCACGGCAGAGCGCGCACGCACAAGATCACGTGTCGCGGACGCCGCAGTGAAACAATAATAAAAAAAAACCCCGTCAAGTGTTTAACGTGGAAATGTACGGGCTTGCCCGAAGGTGCGTACCACTCCGGCAGCGATTGAGGAGGCTGACGTGCAGCAGCAATAGACGGAGTGTTGCCAACGTAGGACCATCCAAGAGACGGCGACGACTTGGGTATGGCTTCATCTAGCAGTGGATTGACCATGGTTGTTGTTGTAGATGATGATAGGCATACAGTGGTTAATGCAGTACGTGTCATCGCTTTTGGGTGTGGTGGCACACGTCTGCGATCGAGCGCTATGGAGTCAGTGGTCTGTGGCTCACTGCGTTCTGATTTGGCCAGGGAATGGCAGTACAGCAAAGAGGATGTATTAGTCCGTAGGCAAGAGCAGAAAACTTGTGTGTGTGTGTATATATACTCTATATAGTATGGCCACTATGCTCAAATAACTCTTACGACCCATACGGCATGGGGAGGCCCTCATCCACCAGTGGATTGACATCAGGCTGCACTAATACGACTATCCACTGAGGTTGCAAATATCTGAACCAGTCCTGGGTGTCCCCTAGGTTGACTCAGAGTTAAATGAGTACCTGGTGTGGTTGTGTAAACATCACCCATCAGGAGACACAAGCGAGCGGGCGTAGTGCTGCTCACACCGCTGCCTCGTGTGCAGCGCCGGCCTTCATAGGTGCTCGCTAACAGCACTTGCCCCAACATCCTACAAAAAAAGCTCTCTTTGCCATATATAGCACACACGACATTAGCCAGAACCTGCGCTCTTTTTGACCTTGGGTGTCTCCTTATCCCCCCGCCTCCTCCCCTCTCTGTTTATTCCACTCAAGCCTTCCCCCTACCCTCTCCCGATTGCCCTTGATCGATGCCGGGCCTTCTACGTCTCCGTTGCCATCTAGACGGTCGCACCGATCGCCGAACATCTCAGCCAGAATACATCGCACATTATCGCCACGCACGAGCTCGCGACACCAACGTTTCTCTCCCGAAAGCCCGTTCACTCAACCCCAAGTCCCTCCGCATTTTGACCTGTAACTGCAGCGACACGCTTGTCTCATGCTGAATTCTCTCTGATCTCAAACCCGTGAAGCCCCTTCCCCGGATACCAACCAGTGGCACCGCGAGGCATCAGCTAAACTGAACAATAACCGAGGGCCCCAAGCAACTCAAGGGACCCAATATTCATGAATAAATATATGTGTAGCAAACAGCTGCTGAAACGTAAATCCAAATCAACATAATTAGCCAAGTAGCTTCAAAAAACGATTGATCGGTCTCATGTCGACATATCCAGCATCTCCCGTCTCTAGTATCACTGTCTCTATTTTTGTCTAAGTTTCTCATATCTGACGACATCTATACCCCTTGCCTATATCGCCTGTCGTCTCACTTCGGGGTTTATGCACTGAAAGGGGGCCCACCAACAACATGATTTCTGCTTCGGGTCCGCAATGGGTGAGCACCACCGCTTGCTGCTTCCTCTATCAGCGCGATCGCTCTGCTGGCGGTGGTTGGGACATAATCCTCTACACTTCTTCCACCTCCCAGCCCAACACAGCTGGCTTTTGTTTAGTTTTTTTCTGGGCTCTTTCGACGACGACCTGCAGAACCTGGAACAAACCCCTCCTGCCACAGCCAGCATTAAACCTTCACAACATATCACAAGTAACCAAGCAGACCCACATTATCGCAGAAGACACAAGTTCATGTGTTGCACGATCCAGGCTTTAATTTCAGCCGGAGCTTTCTGGGGGAATGGGATTTGGAGGTTGTGGTGAGAGGCGTTGCGGGGTGGGAGCTGGAAAATATTCCATGAGAAAATAAGCCCTGCCAAGGCCAATGTTGATAAACTGCATCTCGTGCAGACAATGCCCTGCCTGCCACGTGCATTGGCGAAACCCGCCTCGGAGAAGGCTGGCAGACAGATTCAGGGAACATCACCGTCACCGCAACAGTCTGTGAGCATTTCACATCCAAAGGGCACACTGCCTATACACTGACGTGGACACACGTTCATCAGGGGTCCGACTTCACCAGTCCATTCTCTTGCAACCAGGCGGAGAAGAGACTTGTACTGAGTCTCGGAAACCAACACACAGCGTCAACCTTGGTTTCCCCAAACTTTCTGTTCAGATGTATGTACGTTGAACTTCTGTCGCACCGTACGTAGCCAACCGTGTGCAGACAAGCACATGCCAGCCCAGTGCGCATCCCCCAGTCAATGCGTGTGTATGTATAAACACACACGCTGCCCGTGTGATTTCTTGTTGATTTAATTACCTGATCATGTTTTTTACACATAGGGCATTTTATATGAATATATATATAGTTTATGTTGGCATTCTCACATAGCCCCCTTCACACCGGCAGAAAACAGGATACACTCATACTGCCCAGGCCTTTAGTTTCCTGTCTCCTAAAGGCCTCTTCAAAATTCACCGTGCTGGTCACGACAACGGGTCTTGTTAATCCGGTCACATTCAGACAACTGGCGTGCCCCCCCCCCCCCCTGTTGAGCCTTTTCACACACTCGGAATACTCACTACGCTATAGTGACAAAAGACAAACGTTGACTCT